ACTGGATCCCAAATAAACTGCATGTCTGAAAAGTTTTCATAAACAGAATTTTTCTCAGAGGGAGATGCAACTTTTGCAAGGTATATTGGAAGTTACAAAGCTGGAAGCCAGAGTATTCATGCAGGCAGGTTGTCAAGGATTCCATATAACGTTATAAATGACTATGACTCAAGGAAATTGGAGGAGAGCGGAGTGGGTGTGTCTGCACATGCAATTAATGTGCCAGAATTTTCTGCAAAGAAAATTCAAACTCATTAAAGACCTCCTGGGTGCATATTTACATGGGTGCCCCTGTTGGGAGCAGTTCAGTCCAGGCCTGCTTCTTTCTCCCTGCACTGCTCTGCCCTGCTGCAGTAGCTGGGGGAGCTCCAGGGGACACTTGCCTGGTTGCCAGCCTTGGGCTGGAAGGAGTACCAGGGTCAGGTCAGAGCTCTGCAGAGCAGGGGGGAGCTGTCCAGGAACAGGAGACAGCTCCCAGCCCTATGAAGCTCGGGATCACAGCTCAGTTTGGTGGCACTGGCTTGGGGCGATGCCCCATGGCCAAGCAGAAGGGAAAGCATCATTGGGACCAGAGAGGAGATGTGAGGTGGAAGCAGCACCAAGGACCCCTCACATCTTACCCCTAGCCCCAGCGCCGCTTCCCTCTCGCATCTCCCCCCCCAGTCCCGGTGCTACTTTCCCTGCCATGTGTCCCCCCACCCATCCCCCTCCCCCCTGTTCTGGCGCTGCTTAGCTGCCAAATCCTCCAGACATGGGCATGGAGCAGGATCCATCTGGGGTGTGTGCTCCATGGGCAGCAGCAGGGCTGAGGGGACAGGGGAGCTCTCTGTCCCCTCTGTCCTGCTGCTGCCCACACAGCACACACCCCAGTTGGCTCCTGCTCCCTGCCCATGTCTGGGGGAAGCCAGGACCTGAGCAGCACCAGGACCAGGAACACAGGAAGAGAGAGCTCCCCTGTCCCTAGGGGGAGCCAGGACAGGAGCTGAGCAGCACTGGAGCATTGGACAACTCCCACATCCTGCTGCCTATGGTGACCAGAAGCAAATTGCTCCTAGTCAGCATCTACATGTGCACTACTGTACAGTGGCTAATGTACCATTGATCTAGTACCTGTATTTGTTGGTACTAGCAAAGGGCTCATTAGCCTAATTTACTGAGCAGTAAGTCCTGCACACGTGGAGACACTGATGCTTTACTACGCATTCGAATTCTGTGAAGAGGGGCAGGGTCTGGCTGACTGAAAAAGACTATCCTTTTAAAAAGAAAGAATAAAAGGGCTGAGTGAGCTCTGGCTCCTGCTGGCTGAGGGGTAACAATGCTGCCCAGTTTCCCAGGAACTGCAGGAGGTTGAGGGAAATGTTAATAACTTTTCTCTCAACTAGAGAAGCATGTGTCCTGCTCTGATCATGTGGTGGGAAAAAGAAATGTAACACAAAGGTGTTGGATCCATCCAGGGGTGCCAGAGGAGATGGATTAAATCTGCACTAATTGGGAGGAGCTCTCAGAAATTTGATTTATCCCACTAAGAGGATGATATCCTGCATAAGCCAGTTTCAGGCATGTATTTCAAGAAATGAATACTGAGATCTGAAACAGAGTGGAGTTATTCAGGAGCAGCTATTCTCTTTTTTTTTTCCTTTTGTGCTTTTTATGGACTCAGAATGCAAAGATTTCTCAGGGGTGGGGAAGATGGTTTGCAGCTTATTCACCCCTGAGGAGCAATGCAATGTGCATATGTATATGTATATGTATATTGTGATTTTTAAAATCTTTTATTTGTTAGATGTTCATATATTGTTTATTATCCATTTGCTGTTATAGTAAAAAGATATTTTTGGACATTTTTTATTCATTATTGGTCACTGAGGCAAATTGAATGCCAAGTTCTTTACATTAGGTGCTGCTGGTTTATTTATATATTAGTGAACCCAGAAGGGTTGTGCACTTTGTACTGCAGGAACTTTACAATGGTAAGTGAATGATACACAAGGGAAACCAATCCTGCTTTCTTTCTCACATTTTACAGCCAGAAGAGGAAGTTTTGATCATCTGTTCCATTGGTGCTTAGTTTCTGCCCACAGGCTGCGTCTGACCTGTGGGGCTCTGCACAGATCCAGAACTTTGGTGGCAGGGTAGTGTTGGCAGCATGAATTGCTGCAGCTTAGATGGATGTGGTATGTGGAGCTGGGCCAGTGTGTAAGGTCACCCTGTGTCCAGAAATGGCACACACGAGTGGGTCAATGTGCAGGATCATGTCATAGCCAGATGCCAGGCCACACCCAGACCTAGTGGATGGGGCCAGGCCAGCATGCAGGGCTGCAACAGGTACTGACCCCATGCATCTAGCTTACACTGCATCTGGCCCACAGACTGACCTCACCCACAATCCCACACCACATATCCAGCCTTCAGAGCCAGAAGGTTGAGTGCAAAAGATATAGTCTGACCTCCAATATGACACAGAATTTCACACATCATTTATGCATCAAGTCCATAACTTCTGGTTGAACTGAGGGATATCTTTTAGAAAGTTCTTCAGTCTTGATTTAAAGTAGTTTGGTATAGCATGAAATCATTTCAATTCTCTTTATTTTATAACAGCTATCCAAAAAGACTAGCATCACTAACATTATGCATGACTAGAAAAAACACTTCTATCACAATATTTGTCTCATTTACTCTGTTTCAGTCAGTGCACCTACAATCCTGCTATCTTGACTTGATTAGAGCAGTAGCCATTACTGAGTTGCATTATAGCTTATCCCAGAAATTTACATTTAATTTATTTCTTCATTGTCATTTTTAACTATTGTCAGATAGTTCAGAAAATTGTATGGGATGTAGAAAAGCCATGCTCAAGTCCCTGTTGTACTTGACTCAGAGCAGAGACTTGAACCTAGTATGTCCTAGCTATTCTAATTCCAAATAGTGTACAAGGGGCTTAACAGGTGAACGCTAAAACCAAACATCCCCCTAAATTTGGGAACTTTGGATTTAAACTCTCAATTTCATGGTATCATTACAATAACATCTCCTCTATCATTTATATGTGACGAGGTTAGTTATAGGTTTATATCTCTCTGCTTCTTTTATATAGGTTTGTGAACACTCACTTCCTGTACCTTAGATACACATACACACATAGAATTGTATCTTTTTAAAAAGAGGTTTTATTAAAGCATAGCTGATTTTGAGGTGTGCAGTATGTTTTGATCATGTCCATTTCATTTATGTTCGATACACAGAGCTCTATCTAAAGCCTACTGAAATCAGTGAGTCTTTCCACTTACTTCACTTAGTACTAGACTGGGACCATACCACAAGTGTTTTTGAAATTCTATGAGATTTTGTGGCACATTTCCATTTCAGTTATCTGACTATAGAGAAGGTAACTGTTTGCAGTTTTTAAAGGGGGGAATTAAGTAGGAAAGTTGGACAGATTCTTTTTTTTTATTTTAAAAGAAAAAAATCTCTTTATAGTATGATATATTCATTTCTTGTGCACTTTTACTTTAATGCAAGTAGGACATTAGACACTAACTGAAATTAATATTTTAATGCACAGTAGGAGAAACCTTAGGATTTGGTCTATATTGATTTGAAGCAGTAAAAATTGACCTTGTAAACATTTCTTTAGGAGGTAGAATGCATATATTTGACAATCTGTCAAATAGGAGAAAGTAAACAGTGACTCTGTAATCCTAATAAATAAGGAGCATCACAGATTTTAAATAAACAATTTTTTATACAAAAAGGTTTATGTGAAAGACTAAAACAGTGTTTTAATAAGTTAGAAACAGGTATCATAATTTCTTTACAACCAAGGCATGTTTGCAAGAATCACTGGTTTTTCCTTCTGTCCCTGAAGTTTTGACTTGAAAACTGTTTTGCTGATGCATTAGTTTCTGAGTCATTACAGCTACTTTTTTCTCTTTGGATGTTAATGTCTTCAAGATGGCTCCTGTAAAACCAATCTGTAATACTTTTTAATCCCAGTCATTGAAAGGGCTTGTCTGCAAAACAAACCTTAGAAACTTGAACTGGAAAAATAAGTTCTTAAAATTAAAAAAAAATCTTTTTTCTAATTCAGGTGCCTCCCGCAGCGGCTCCCATGAAGACAGTGTTGATTGGTGGTAAAGATGATGCCATCTCTCTAGTAGGTTGTCCATGAGACTCCAGTGTTTCATGAGAAGGATACTGATTAGATGTTCCATACATGCACTGGGAAGAGGATGCAGATTGCATATTCGAAGCTATGGAGAAAAAGGTAAATGTCACTGCAGGTTTTCTGTTTATTTTTCTCTCAAAAGTACAGCCTGCCTGAAATAGATATAGACTTACATATCAGACACACTGGGCACATCTACAGGTGCCCTGACTGTCCACTTGGTACCGTGCAGTCTTTTAGTACTTGCTTCAGCAAGTATTAAATGACTGTGCAGTACCCGCTGGTACTGTGCAGTCCTGGTGGTGCATGGGTCATCTTCAACTACTACTGCAGAGTAGCAACAAAGTACTGTGCAGTAGCACTGGCATCACAGTTAGTGCCCATTGATGCCACATCACCATAGTGATGAGCTACAGCAACATAGCTGGTCGCTATGGCGAAGTAGCGTCTCATGCAGATGCACCCACTTTCTCCCTAAGTACAAAGAGCAAGGGCCTGATATCAGAACCCTGTCTGGATTCAGATACAAATTTCCCATTTCTTTACAGCAGGATATTCTGAAACCCCAGGTCTGACTGAATGTTGTTAGAAATCCAGCTGTGGGTCTGAAATACAGCAGGAGCACAACCCCACATCTAAAAGAAGGTGTGCAGAACCAAGTATGTTTGCTATTCCTCCTCTTCCCCCATCTTGCTTCATTCATTTGAGTATTGACTCTCAGACTGCACCACTGCTTCTGTGCATAAGTAATCAAATCTACCATCTGGCAACTATCAACACAGAACACAAAAGTCACTTGATGAAGACAATCCCTGAAGTGGAGTTTTTTTCTGTTTGCTTGGGTTCCCCGCCATGGCCTCCCCCTGCTGTAGCTTCATTTAAAGGAGCAAGATGGAAATGGTTACTTGGAGGTCTTCAACCTGCAAGTAGATCAAATTTGGTGTTTGTTTCCAACTGGCAGAATGATGACTGGTGACAAAGCAGATGTGTCACAAGACAGTTAGGTAGCTGCTCATTCCTAAGTTTGGATGAACATCTCTAAATTTTTGCATGTGCTCTTTTCCATAACCGCTGACACAATCAGGTGACAGACAACATGTGCCAGAAGCAAATAAGGTGTTTCTTTGAGATCTGCAGCAACCTGGTTGGCATATGCAATGATAGCCATTATGCATAATACCATTCATATATTTGAATGTATAAATGAACCTCTACTTCTCAAAATTATGGGTCAAAACTAGTTAAATTAAAGGTAGGTTTCTTCGAGGCAAAGGGACAAAACAGCCATATACATACTGTGTTTACTAGTTTCCTGTCAGATGGAACTAATCCATCACTTACATATTTATTAAATATACAAGCCACTGGGCCTGCGATTTTGACACCAATGCTTCCATAATTTGGGTACAGACAGAAGTGACAATTTATACCTAATCTGGCCACAGAAAACAGTTCATAGCTATGGCCAAACACAGGTGCACGACTGCAAACAGCTTAAAAATGGCCAATTGGGTGCAAACCTGACCCCTTGTTGGACAAGGTATGAGATAAAGAAGTTTCAAAATGTAGCGTCTTTTGTAACTTGTGTCTGCAGAGCTGACAGCCTGTCACTGTTTTCAGAATGGGAGGGGGGAAAGGGAGTGGAGGGAGTTCAGTATGGGGGGTTTTCAGCTCCCCTGGAGGGCGGGGAGGGTGTATTGGGGCCTCCCTGAGATGGGGGAGAGGGGACTCCAATTCACCCACCCCGCCCTTCAGCACCAGCTGGGGGGCCCCAAGAACAAGCTCCCTCTGTTGCCTTTTCCCTGTCCCATTCTGAAAACAGTGAGCACTAGCAGAGAGCTCTGGCCTTTGCTGTGGGAACCTGACTGCAGGCTCCCAGTCCACAGCCAAATTCCCCTCTTCCCTGGAACCAGCAGTGAACTTCTGTTTGGTTTGGGGCAACACTGCAACTCAGAACACTTTGCAAAAATCATTCTGAGTTACAGCTGGAAGCTGTACTTCTGCCTGAACCCAAAAGAGTTTCTTTTTTCCTTCCTCCAGCAATCTGCTTGAAAGAATTGAGCTCTGAGGCTTGTTAAGATGTCTATTATCATTTTCCCCATCAGATCTCCCTTTTCTAGACTAACAAAACCAAGTCTCTTCAAGCCTTCCTTAAGAGGCCATGTTTTCAATGGTTTTTAAAATATTTTTGCTGCTTCCCTGTTAGCCTTCCCCCAGCTTATCTACATCTTAAAGTGTGGTATCTAAAACTCATCCCTGCATTCCAGGTGGGGCCTCCCTAATCCTGACTACAGCAGAATGATTACCTCCCATGTTTTATACTGATGTGAGGACAGCAGGACTTAGCCAAGGCATTTAGAACTATTGTAGCAAGGTGTTACAAGCTTTATAGTGCTGCTTGGTCACCAGATATACTTACCAACAGGGGTTCGACAGAGAAGTGACGGTGAGGAATCTGCATAGTATGAGCCTGTCTGCTTCCTTCCATTATCATCTAAGATGTTCAGTGGGTCATGGATATCATTGTATGATGGCAGTGATCTAATGCTGCTTACACTACTGATTACAGAAACATGCTGATCCACCATGGATCCAAGCCTGTGAGATTCTGGGTAGTTTATGTTGTTTCCATAGTATCCTACTGAGAGGAAATAAATAAGATAAAATAAACTTCACAAAAAAGGAAGGATGGTCTAAGGGTTAAAGTGCATATCTCAGAGAGAGAATATCTGTGTTCTATTGCAATTTCTGTTGGTGAACATGGAACCAAATGGAACCTCTTTGAATCTAAAGGGACCTTGGATTAAAATCTCTGAGCATCTATACATGTGCTCTGGGGTAGGGGTGTGCATTTTAATGAGAGTGGCTTTTGGGAACCACTCTAATTAAAATGCCTGTAGCATCTTATGTATGTTGTATCCTGCACCATTTTGGCTGAGGGAGCATTCTAATTAGAACGCTCCAGCAGACTCAATCCAACGCCTTCTAATTAGAAGGCGTCGAAGCAGATGTCCCACATGAGTATGGGCACCCTCTAGGTTTAAAGTCATTTTTTCAGGTCAGATCCAAAATCAAGAGGTAAATGTTATGATTCCAGGGAGGATGTAGAGAAAAAAATCTAATTAGAACAGACACTCTTACATTGATTTGGTGCCTCAGAATATGAACCTGAGAACTAGTTTTTATATGATCTTAAATTCAAACTTCAAATTGTAATGCTGAGTCTAGCTCTGAACACATCTCTTTCATTATACTGTTTTTGTTCAAAACCTAAAAATGAAGGATTGTTTATGAAACGTCTAAGGGTGTTTATACACATGCTCTGGGAGGCAAGGGGGGTGGTGCTTTAATTAGAGCTGCTCCAAGAGCCGCCATAATTAAAGTGCCCGGAGTGTCATGTGTATCAGAGTCCTTGTGATGAAAAATGGTAGCGGGGGTACTTTAACTAAGGCTTGTCAAATGAACTTTAGTTACAGTGCCCCCACCACCATTTTTCAGTTCAGGACACTGCATACACAAGATGCTACACATATTTTAATTAGAGCGGCTCCTGAGAGTGCCCAGATTCTAATCTCAGTTAGTTAAAGCACCCCCACCACCATTTTTCAGCACAGGGAGGCTGATACACGTGACACTGGAGTCTGCTGGAGCATGGTAATTACACTGCTCTAGCAGACTTGATTAACTGAGTCTGCTCCAACGTGCTATAGTTACAGCACATCAGAGAAGCCTCGATGCATGAATATTGGTGCTGTAAGTTATCAGTGGGTGTGTCCACATATGTAATTAGTGCAGATGAATAAACTCTGGAGTTTATTGCGCTGGAATTTTTTGGTCCTAGGCGCACCATTTGAACATATACCCAGGAGCAATTAACTCCTGAGCAATCAACTTCGGAGTTTATTCATGTGCAGCACATGGAGCTTGGTTGGAGCAGTCCTGGCTGGCAGAGGCCCCCAGGGGTCAGCCTACCAGCCTGGGGCTGCTCTGACCAGGCTCATGTTCTGTGGAAGGGCTGGCTGGGGCACAAGGTTCTTTCTGTGTGAGGCTAGCCAGCAGGCAGCCTCCATACTGACACACCCTCATGCCCCAGCCACCCAGGTCAGTGTCTATACATGCGCTGCTGTGCCCAAAAAAACTGCAGCAGGAAGTTTATTAGTTTCAGCGCCCTAATAATGATGCACATGTAAATGCTTACTGCAAAGCTACTTAGTCAGCTTTGCAGTAAATGTCTCATGTAGACATGCCCAGTGAGTGACATGCTTTAGTCCAGGGGTGGGCAAAATGTGACCCGGGGGCTGTATGCAGCCTGCCAGGCCATTCAATCCAGCCTGTGTGGCCCCTAAAAAATGTAGACAATTAATATTTATCTGCCCTGGGCTGCCTGTCATGCAGCCCTTGATGGCTTGCCAAAACTCAGTAAGCGGTCTCTACCCAAAATAACTGCCCACCCCTGCTTTAGTCAGTATGTTTCAGTTAATTGTTTACATAAATTTGGAATTTGTCCTAACCAGTTACTGTGTGTAGTATTACTGTGTAAGTTCCTTTAGAACAAGTACCATTATGTATACATATAACCTGTTAAACATTAAGGAATAAGCATTAAGGAACTATGTCCGTGGAATGAGGAGAGTAGAAACCCTAACATTTGCCCCTGGTTTTAGCACAGAATGAAATTTTCATTTTAAAGTTCCAAATTAAACTGTGACACCTACAAGCAGAACATAGAGGAGCAGTTGCTCAAAATTGATTCCATAATTCCATTCTGCTCTTTTTATAATGTGGCCCAAAATAATGAATAGCTGAATGGATGATTTAGGTAGAAAAGTAAGAAAATCTACATGATAACAGTATCTGGCACCTTTTTCTGGCATCTTTTATCTTGAAGGATCCCAAACCACTTTATACACTAATCTAGAGACTACAGTTTCTATAGGAATCATTTCACCCACACTGTCTCTGGGATGGAACATGACAGCTGTGTTACAGGTCACAGAAATGTATGCTACAGCCAAAATCCTAAATAGCAGCCAAGCCAAGTGCTTTTAGCATCTTTTATTTTTTCATTTTAACTTCGGGAGCTGGTGGCCACTGAAGTGGCTCCTGATGTAAGACAGAGTAATGAGAGGGCTACTTTATCCCCAGCTGCCTAAGAAGCTTTTTGAGCTACCGTAAGTATAGGGACACATTGGCTCTTTGACTGCTTTATCTGAACTATGCCAGATGGAGGTTGGCATAGGAGATTCGTAGCCACAATGCTAGTTGAGGATGCCCCTGGTTGCCCCCAAAGCCCCAGGCAGAAATCAGTCCTCAGGTAGCTGGTTGGGATGGCATTACAGCTGCTCTGTGTCACCAGAGTAGCAGACTGCCAGATGCATAGGAAGACAAAAGATGTGAACAGAAACTGAAGAATGCCTTATGTACTGATAAAGCAGACAGAGCAAAAATTTTGCTTCTAGATATGAAGGGACAGTCAGAGAGAAAAAAAAAGGAGACTTTTAAGGGTTAATACCATTGGAAGCATTAGACGGATATGTTGCTCCTGGACAGGCAGCAGCCACTGAATTGCTCAGAAAATTGAAACTCCCAGTATTCAGAAACTGCATATTATGTGCATCCTGTGAAGCTGAGGAGGGCCCATAACTAGAGGGAGACCTGGCATTGTATGGAGACACAGCACAGCTGCTATTGAAGTAGTCCCTGGAGAACTGCTGCTCACTCAAGGCCGTAAATCGACCATGCTCTGCTCTGTGCTGATAAGATCCCGAAGTTGGATGAACCTGGGTCCTGAACATGGCCTGGTAATTGGAGTTGGGGCCATAGTAGCTCTGATTAGTTTGTGAGAGAGTCTGGTAGAGAGGCTCTGAATAGGAAGAGCAGTGTGAATGTGTAGATAACACGGGGCCTACACTCGGAGGTCTCCCAGTCATTGGCCCCTGATTGATAACACTTCCTCGACTGACCATGGCTGGAGAAATGGGTGGAGTCATCAGAGGGCCAGTGCTTTGCGAGAGCTCCATCTGCCCTGAAAGAAACAAATATTGGCATTATTTAGTATCATGCTGTCTCATTTTCAGAGACTGACTTGAGAGGGTTTCTTTAAAGTTTAAAGTATAGCTATCTGATGACTTGGTGAGCACAAGTTATGGTTCTAAGTTGCTACAGAGGATAAGCTTTGTTAGAGTCCACAACTTGCACAGACTTCACCCTTTATGTTAAACTGGAGCAACTCACACAATTCTCTTTGGAGGTACCCTGTTCCATCCTCCGCATGCTGATCAACCCTGAGGCTGCCAAGTTAAGTAGTAGTTAAAGCAGCTGTCAACCAGATTGCCATGGCACCTTGGGGTGTCATGAGATCCTTTTAAGGGTGTAGCAGAGTATTGTGCAACCTTAGCACTGTTAGGTGTGCAAATTCTTACACATGATTCACAAAATAAGTCCAGAGATTTCAAATAGGAAATCACAGTGTCAAAAACATTCCAACCTGCTGTGGCCTTTCTGAATTCTTTACAACAGAAGAATTGCTCTATTATTTTTCTGCAGTCAAGAGACATGTGAAATTAGTTTTTAAAATGGGGTTTTGCCAAATTCAGAAAAGTTATGGAGTGGTGCCTTGAGGTTAAAAAGGCTGAGGACCACTGGGCTAGAGGCAATAACACAATGAGTTGTTACCCATCATGTCAGTTCATGGGCTCAGGCTGATGATGTTCATACCCTCTGCACAAAGGTAAACCATTCTGAGCAAAAGAGGTCCACAGTAATTTAAATCAAAGTGAGTGGCGGTGGTAGCTGAAGGCTTTATAAGCTTGAATCATCTGTGTAACAGTATAGAGGGGGACTTAGAAACCTCAGTCACCAGTGGGTTAAATAAACTTTACACAGTGTTCTTTTTTTATAACTCTGCATGACTGGACTAAAAGAGCAATGATACCAGCAAAAGATAAGAGGAGAGACTGATGCCTACCTGTTAGCTGTAGAGTCTCATTGTCCCCTGGGGAGAAAGGATTCAAACCAGAGGGCAAGCTGCTGTGCTGGTTAGCTGACAGTGAAACGTAGGCTTGCTCCACAAGGCACTCATTTTTCACTGATGTGTCGCTAGCCAGGGTAGCAGCTTTGTTACGATTTGCCAGGAAGCAAGAGCTTGGTGATGCAGTGAAGGTGGCTTTACTTGCATCTGGAAAAAGTTAGTGAAAATACCTGGTAGCTCGTGCACATATACATAGTGTGGAAAGTCATGTCGACATGTAAACAATATGTGAAGTGACTTATGATAATGGTTAAATAGTAGATCAATTTGGTAACTTATTTTAAAATTCAAAATCTTATAAAGATCCCAAACATTGCATGTAGTCAACATATGCATCTTTTAAAGTGTTGCCGTGGTCTTCCCTTTCAAGTCTCTTCTATTGTGTTCTATACCCACCAATCTATGCTATAGATACCAGCAGAAGAATTGCTCCAAATTGAAGCAGTAACAGTAAATACATGGATCAGATTCATCCCTCTTGTAATTTTACTGAAGTAAATTAAGTCAGTTGAGTCACACGAGGGATGAATTAGGTTCATGTTTTATCCTTAATTGCATGAAGGAGAAAAGCAGGGAGATTTAAAGTCCCTATCCTAGTTGAGACCTGTACTTCTCTGTACGTCAAGCTTTCAGTACCCCTGATCGCAATGAAGTCAGTAAGAGTTCTGCTGTTCTTCAAGTGGGACCAAGATTTTACCCTGCATCCTCACCATAGTCCCCAAACTGAATTTAAATGCTGAACAGAAGAAGACTCTTCTGTAGAGCTGAATTTAATAACAACAACAATAGCCAATTTCCATTATAAGATAAAAATCAGTGGGATTTACTGACCTGAATGCGTGCAATTAGATGATGAAGAAACAGCTAAAAATGAGTTTAATCTAGATCGGTGTACATCAAATGTAAGTCTGCTGAACCAAATGCAGTTATCCTGGATTTATATGGAATAATAGAGACCTACATTTGGTCCGGATGCAGTTTCCTAAGCTTCGTTTAGTCCAGAAGACTGGACTAGATGAGCTCATATGTTCCCTTCCAGCCCTCCTTTCCTGTGATCCTATAATCACAGTGGGCATTTATACACATGCTTCAGGAGTGTGTGTGGGGGGGAGGGGTGCTTTAATTAGAGTGGCTCCAAGGGCCGCTCTAATTAAAGCACCCAGAGTGTCATGTGTACCAGCCTCCCCGTGTTGAAAAATGGTGGGGGGGCGCTTTACCTAAACCTTATCAAATGAGCTTTAGCTGAAGTGCCCCCATCACCATTTTTCAGCACGGGGAGGCTGGTACATAAGGCACTGGAGTCTGCTGGAGCTCCAACAGACTCAATGAAATCTGCTCCGAAGCGTTGTAATTACAGCATGTTGGAGCAGCCTCTTTGCACGTGTATGGGCACCTGGTGAGACTAAACAATTTCCATGGGTTGGTCACAGCATAAACATAAATTTTGTAGATATTTCCTGGATGTGTTCACTGGCCCCACCCCTCAACACTGATTGGCAGAGAGGCCTGAGAGGAGGGACAAGGGGGTGGCCACCATTCTGTCTGCTGGCTGCCTTTCATGAGGCCCAGCCCATTGGCACTGATTGGTGGAGAGGCCCCAGTGGGGGGATTAGCGGCCACCATCTTGTTTGCTGCCCTTCGTGTGGCCCTACCAGCTGGTGCCTTCTCCCCCTCCCCCCGGCAGACTGTGAAACTGGGCCATGGCAGCATTTTATTTTTACAAATTACATGAAGGAAAAAAGCAGGGAGATTTCATCCCAGATTTCATGGTTTCTGCAAAATCACGAACTGAGTAGACTCCTTACCTATAATCCTACATTAAAGTGCCTGGAACATGATATAAATGTTACCATTCAAGCAGTATAGTAGCTGGGAGTGTTTTAAAATGCTCTTTAAAGATTAATTCTATTCTTTACTTCATGCTAATACTTAATACTTTTTCATATACTTAAAGCACACAAGTAGTTCAGCTGAAGTTAACCAGACGGATCTTGTGTTTTATGGCAGAAGGCAGGGCAATCTAGCATCTTTAAGATTAACTCCTGCAGAATGACATAAACTTTTGTGGGTGACTGCCTACTTCATCAGAGAGTATCCAATGAAAGATTATGCCTTTCTGAATGAATTAGTCTAAGGGTGTCTAACTCATCCAGTCCTGGAGCCTGGATGAGCATACCTGAGCTTGTCTGCAGGCTGGACCAGGATCAATTCCCTGCAGAGTGTTTGTGGTGCTGAGCCCTGCCCATGTACCATGAGTGCTGGCCCTCAGGGATGGCATGGGGAGCGCAGACAGGACCTGGTGCCATGGGCAGCACAGGATGCCACATGCAGCCTGCATCCCAGACCACTGTGCCATGTGCAGCACCAGGTCCAGCTTACATGCAGCTGAAAGCACATGTCTCAAGCTGGCCACAGATACTGGCACATGCATAGCAATCTCCAGGGCTGGTCAGTCCAGCACATGACGCATGGCCTTGTGCAGTGCATGAGGCACAGGGGGCTGGCACATGGCACACACACCTCATGTTGGTTCCCTGTTCTGTATGCAGCGCATTCCAGCTCTGGGTTCACTGTGCATATGGCCCATGGGGCCAGCATGGAGTGTGTACCGTCTGTGATGCCCAGGCTGGATCCAGTGCTTCACATAGCACAAGCTGCGTGGAGCACCCCAAGCCACCCCATGCCGTCTGCAGCATGCATAGCACCAGGTCCAGCCTGACTTCAGACAACCGTGGCTAATTACCTCTCTTGTATTATTATCTACACAGGTAGATAGGTCTTGCAGGGCCAGGGCATACATAAATAAAAGCAAAAAGAACCAAACTTTACAATCTAGTTACCCAAGTTCTTCATGTACTTGTCCAGTAGATTCTGGAGTTCCTGTTCTTTGTCATTGTTGAACTGGGTCTCCATTGCTAGCAGAATGTACTCATCTAGTAGCATACGAATCAAATGAAAAGAACCTTTAAATTGAGAAAGAGAGAGAATGAGAAAGAGTAGCTGAGTTATCTTTGTGACCATCTCCCAACACTTTACAAGAAGTGAGTGAAACAAACAAATAATTGTTGGACTTTAAATGACCTGCTAAGACCAACAAGGAATAGTGCCGGACTTCTAGCTCTAATCTCTCTTTGCACAGGCCCACCTAGTTCAATTGTTTACTGTCCTGTAGGCTATTTGGCCACTAATTACATCAAAGAAAAATACTGATGAAAGTGAGACATGCTTTATACTTGAAGAGGGCACACACTGGAGTTAGATAAGGCTGAGCTTGACTCAAATGTGCCTGACTCTGCTTTATTTATGTTTGCCTTGTAAGCAGTCAATAGTTGACAAAGTATTGGAGCTTATTTCAAGGAAATATCACATTAAAACAGATATCCCCCTGTAGGCTTTCCAAATGCTCTTTCAATTTAAGATAAAAGTTAATTTGCAGCTACAGGAAGAAATTAGGAAATGATGTGCTAATGTGAAATGATTTTCATTTAGTCCAGAAGCATTTTCTAATTTTGAAATACCCAATTTGAAGTACATTAAAATGTTAAAAAAATAATACTTTAGGATATACTATTTGTATTAAAATCCTAAAAAAACCCATAAATATAACATTGCAATTTCATGTCTAGGAATCCTAGAGCTCAACCTAGAGATGTTTAGCTACATTTCTTGTAAAATGGCCTCACTGAAAAAACAGTCACTATTTTACTAAATGGATTCATACACAATAATAATTTAAATTGCTTTTCTCAGATCTTGGGAAATGTGATTGTGGCTCTGTTGCTCAATCAAATGATACCTATTAGTTGTAGCTCCTACATGACAAACTAATTTGAAAAAAAAAAAACTTTAAAAACTTAATAATCAACCCCAGCATCCAATGAATTACTGCTAGGATTTTTTTTTTTTTAAGAGGGAGGAGGCAATGCACATTATACAGTGTTTTGGAATCCGGTCAGAGAAATATCAGGACAATCTCATGTGTTTTGCAGGTGGTGTGCAGGTTAAACAGAGTGCTCAGCATGTGGGCAGGAAATAGATGGGGTTTTATGAAACCCAGAGTACCAAAACTTGATGCGTTGTTTAAGGTGAGATTATGCATCACTCGGGCACCAAAAAAGCTCCATTTGAGAAGGAAATCTTGGGCTCTCTTCTTTAATGACCTTCCATTTTGTTTGCTTGCCTAAAAGAGAGATGAAGAAAGAAAAATCAATAAGTAAACTAAGTTTACTTCTCCAGACAGGGAAGTCCATCCCTTTCATGAAGTCAGAAACACAGCAAGGCAGGGAGGAGAGTGAATTGTTCTTAACAGTTCATAGGATTCCTAGGCCACTTGGCTGAACAGAAGAGCTCAGGTTGGCTGGAATGTAGAATAATTCAGTGGTATGTCTCAAAGGAGCAGCATGCACCCCTAAATGACCAACCCCATCCTTGGAGAAGCCCGTTAGTTGACAGACTGCCCTGTCCTCTGCCTGGGAAGGGTGCTGGCTGTCAAGTGGCATTTGACAGGTGCTGAAAAGTAGCAGCTACCACAGACAGCTGGGGAGGGTTCCTGCCCTGGAAGAATGCCCCTTCCTATCCCATGAATCAGCTGATTGGCAGGAGGGGGGCATTTTCCCATAGTGGGAACCCACCTGGTTCTTTCCGCAGAATAGCCCCACTTTCTTAACTCCCCTGGGCTGACCTGGAGGAGTGCAGGGAAAGGAAGCTGCTGTGGCAAGGCTCTGCATGGTCCATGCTTCCTACTGGTCTGGGCTGACCCAAAGCAGTGCAGAGCTTTTTGCTGTCATGGCAAAGCTCCAAGGCCTTGCTACCATGGATGGCAAAGCAGCCTAACTCCCTCTGCACTGCTCCAGGTCAGCTGGGCAGTTCAGGCAGCAAAGGAAAGTCAGAGGGGCTGGGAGCTGGGCCAGGGAAAGTTCCTGCGTGTCCAGCTCTCAGCCCCTCTGGTTTTCCCTATCATTCAGCTGAGCAATGGGCTAACAATTTCAAATCTGGGAGGGCTGAGAGCTGGGCATGTGGAGGCTTTATCAAGCCTGGCTCCTCCTTGCTGTTTTGCTGCCCAGCTGATCAGAGAAGAAACTATCCTGGGAGTGATTTAGCCTGAGTTGTTGTCAGGTTATTTTTCTCCTGGAAGCCATTTATGCTTTGGGAGAAAATGACTCAATATCTGCACATTTTTGGTTTCTACCAGGAGAATGGTGATTCTTCAGGTAGAAACTGAGTATCTGTATCTGGCCTCTATTTACTCTTGGCTGTTACTTCACCATGAGGGCTTTGCTCTATGTGGTAACATTGGAAGCTGTCATTTTCTCAAATGGCAAACAGAAAGAAGCAGGTTTACGAGTCTCACAATAACTGCATTTTAACATGAACAGAAGGTGGAGGGCAATGGAAGGATTACATGTTTCGTAAATCATTACCTAAACTGGACTCGTCTAGTGGGCTCTTGTGATTCTCATTTTTTTTAGATGATTACAGATACACATGCCATTCTGTATCTATTATGTGATACTGTATTAAATAAACAGATGTGTCTTCCAGGGTTGTTTCCCCATGATGAGTTGGGGAACAAAATATAACATTTTAGATAGTAAATATAAAATTCTGTCTTTATATATTCAAGGGTTCAAATGGCATTTACAATTGATGGGAGTTAGGCATCTGTGTGGCTCTCTTCCTCTGAATTTTGGCCTTGATTCAGCAAAGTGCTTAGCAACAATACCAGAAATACACAGAAGTGAAAGTGTCCAAGGTCACTTAGCAAGTTGGCGGCAGAGCCAGGACTAGAAATCATTCCTCTGTTTATTAGAATATGCTACCTTCCCATTTATATTACAGTGCTTAGTAAGTTGTGAGGAGCAGATTTCAGTATTACAAAGCGCCAGGGACCCAGGTTTTCTGATTTTCCCTTTTCCCAGAGAAAAACGCAGTTTTCATTTTAACAGCGAAACATGCAAATTTTGCTCTTTTGCAGAGCGTTCTCTGCAGGCTGGCCTGCAAGGGGCTGGGGGGAGTGGGAGGAGGGACCTGGAGAGCAGCTCCCACAGGTAAGTCTGGTGTGGGGGAGGAATTGAGGCACCCATAGGGAGGGAGAAAGGGGGCTGAGCAGGGTAGGTCTGGGGGTAGGGCTGCTACTGGGCCATGCATGGGGCTTGGGGATCAGGGCTGCAATGCACAGCCACAGGACCCCAGTGGGAAGCAGCATGGAGCCATAGGCAGCCTGTTCAGGGGGCAGGGGTATGGGGCCAGCTCCCTGCCTCTGTGCATGCTCCTGGGAGGGCAGGGGGACACATGCCCCCAGATCTGTGTGTGGGGTGGGGGCGGGTGTGGGCTGCCTGCTGTGGGCTTGAGCTCCCTGCCCTGCTGCCCTCCCCCTGAGGCCTCCACAGCCCAGTGGGTGGGACCCAGCACAGCAGGGCAGAGCAGGACCAGGCGGGGAAGCTTGATGCCGCCGCTGCGAGCCCCATGCTGCCCTAGCGATGTGCCCCCTGTCTGCCCTGGAGCAGCGAAGGGCACAACCCCATGCTGCCACCCCCACTGCTCTGAGGCAGGCAGGAGGCACACTGCCCTCATAATGGCTCAACGAGCTTTCCTGCCTGGCTCTGCTCTGTGTTGCTGTGCCTGCTGGGCTGCAGAGGTGGGAAGGCAGCAGGAAAGGGAGCCTGATCCTGCAGCAGGCAGCCTACCCCCACCCTGAGCACCAATCTGGAGGACACATGCCCCCCACTACTGTCCCCAGGAGCGCACGCGGAAGAGAGCCAGCCTCACCCCTCCACCCATGCCTGCAGTGAGCAGCCTGCACCAGCCCCACACCATTAGCTCCATTCTGGCTGTGCTGCCCGTGACGGAGGGGGAGTCAAGCTCCATGCTTGGGCTGCAGTAGTCACCACCTCCCGCAGGCAACAAACGGGGCTCGGGTGTTGCTGTGGCGGGGGGGGGCTGCAGACCCAGGTCCCTCGCCCTGTAGCCCTGGCAGCTGGGGAGGGCAGGGAGGTGAGGGTGAGGGGCGAGGGTCACCAGCAGAGCTGGGAGGGAAGCGGGGGGGGTGGGGCTGTGGTGGGAGAGTGAGGCTCAGCTGGCTATGGTTGTGGAGTGAGGGGAACCAGCAGGACTGGGGGGGCTGTGGGGCAGAGTGAAGGGCACTAGCAGGGACAGGGGGCTGTGGGTGAGGAGCGAGGGGTACAAGTAGGGCCCAGGGGCTGTGGGTTATGAGTGAGGGGCCTGGACCTGCATCCTGGTGAGTGAAGGGAGCAGAGGGAGCTGATTTTTCCATGATAAAAAACCCAAAATCAAATACCAAAATTTATAGGTACTTAGAATTTATTTTACTATAGTGACTGATGCACTGGTAGGCTTCCAAATTGCTTTAAAATTGTAAATATATCAATAAAACAGTGTGTTCACTCGATACCTATATATATAGTTGTGTTTCATTTTAATCATGGATTTTGGAGTTTTTATCAGAGAATTTGCAATTTTTTATCAGGAAAAACTAGGATCCCTGCAAATCACTACATTTTCAAAAAAAATTTAAAGAAACGTTCCTTTCATAGGCGTCAACTTTGGGTTTTGCCAGTGGGTGCTTGCAAACATAAAAAAACAGAACAAAACAAAACGGTCCTTTACTTTAAACTAGACACATTACTGTGCCGAGCCCTGTGCATGCTTAGAAGAGGCAGCATGTTACTTTAACCCAGCTCGCCCAACGTCTGTAAAGACCGGATGCTTCAGTGGGGCTTTCTTGGCACTTTTATCTAATAGCTGATTGAACCAGTTTTAGCTAAAAGTGACAAAAAGCCCTACTGACGTTCCTAATCTTTACAGATCCTGTAGAGCCAGGTTGAAATTAAGTGTTCCTTCTTTTAGTAAAGCATTTTTTTGGGTTTTTGTTTTTAACATTTGCAAGTAGCCATGGAGATCTAATGCGTAAAACCAAAATGGCCATAGCTCGTGGGTGTTAAGCATCCACTAATACTTTTCATGGATGCCTGAGTCCCGGAGAACCCACGGAGTCGGCGCCTATGGCTTCTTCTGCACTGTAAAGACCTGATTCAGAGTCAGGCATTTGCCTTACAATCATTAATCTTACTATTTCCTGAAGCTCAGGATTTCCCTCATGACTCTGGTGTTTTAGATGCTTTAAGTCTCACATAGGGTTGCTATTTGCTATTCCAGTTGCAACCCAGAATGAAATGCAGGTCTTGACAGGTGAGCAGGAACCAGTTTGAGTTACTGTTCTCAAATACACAAGTATTTTGGTTGTAGAAATCAAAATATAATAGTAATAATAATAATGATAATTTAACTGTACACAAACCTATGTGCTGGCGATATTAAACAATTTAATATGGGTAGAGCAAAAATATTTTACTTCTCCATAAGAAGTCATTCCCAAAAGATTTTAAGTAATAATAGTTTGCTCAGATTAAAACTACAATGGGGCACTTCATGATGTTATTTGTTATTCATATAAGTGATCTATTGTGGATATTAATTCTATACAATTTTCTCCATTGCATTAAATAGAAGCATATGTAATGCTACACAAATAATATAAAAAATATTAAAGAGCTGCATCTCTAGGGAACAACTCCAGCTCACCTTATTCATCTGAGCAATCCCAGGGAAGTCAAAAAAGTTATGGAGTATACTTCTTTTATATGCATTCTTTGGGGTACTGATTCTGAGGCCAGAATTGAGAGGTCGCTGAGTTTTTTTATTTAGAGGTCACTGAATGAGTTGGGATTTTCAAAAACATTCAGGATTGGTTCTAACTCTTAAGTTATTAGAATAGATTCTCAGTGGGAGCATCTACATATGCAACTAATAAGAGTGAATATACTCTGGCCCAATTTGAGCTGGAGCAAACTAATTCTAACATCACCATCTACACGTGCATTTAAGTGCAGTAATTTACTGTGCTACTGGATACCACCTGTATCTGACAAGACTATCTGGCCGCACAGTAAATTAGTCTACCGTGCCCTAACTTTTGCACAAGTGTAGACCGTAATGCTTTACTACACAGCAAATTAGTCTACTGCACAGCAAACTGTCTTGTGTAGACACACCAGCTAGAGCTAATGGAGCTATAACAATTTAAGCCACCTGAGAAGTTGCCCATTGACTGAAGTCATGGATTTCAGTGGGCACATTTACACAAGATGCTTTACTGCATAGAAGACTAATTTGCTGCACAATAAAGCATCACTGTCTATACATGCCCAGTGAGAAGAGAGTAAAGCCAGTACTGATTGCTTTTGAAATATCCATCTTGTAGCTAATGGGACAGCTTACATGAGTAAGGTGAGTAGGTTTTGGTCCTGAATCAGACAGAACATTTGATAAACATTTGATACCTTGATAACCCTTTGCTCAACCACAGTATCCAACCACTCAATAAATGATTCCACAGTGGCATTCTTCTTTAGCAGGTCCTTCAGTTCTTGAAACACTGTAATAGAGTCATCTACCATGTAAAAAGGAAAAAATATCGTTGCACACTACTCTGAAGAGGAGAGAAAACCACTCACCAGTCATTTGACAATTTTGTAGCATGGAAAAGAAAGGCAAGGCAAGAATTAGAGCAGTGAAAGAATAAGAAATTCACCAACGAAGCAACCATTCAGGTGTTAAAAGTTCTTCAACACTGCAAATTAAGGGAGACTACGACAATAGATGTTTTCTATTAAAATAACAGTAAACAAGAGAATACTGACTCCATTCCATTTGTTTAAGGATTTACTTTTGGAACTATGTCTAGCTCCAAGTTTAAAAGGGCACAGAACACAGAATTACCATCTGATAACGTGTGTGTTAGGTAGTGGATAACAGCTTATTGTGTTTAGCTTCTCCATTGCCAATGGATTCTCATTAGGAATAGCACAGTCAAACAGCAAATACTTCCAAGATTCCCTCCTTTATAAAGCCTTTGATATGCTTACCCAATGGATTTATGGCTAATATCTTATTTTTGCACTTAAGATAGCAAGAGCAAAACATAAAACAGTAAAAGATGGGAAAATGAGAGTAAAAGGGCAATTAAAATGGAACTGGTTGTGATCCATTACTTAACTGAAGATAGAACAAAATATAATTCCTTCAGACTTTCATGTTAATAGAAGAAGCTTTTGCTGTCAGTTCTGTCAGTTTCTGACCAATATGTCTCCAAAGTGATAAGTAGCAGTAATAATATATTTAGGCCCTGAAGAGAAGAAGGCTGTATCCTTTTGCCTCAAAGAAGCACCTTTTCTCCTTTTATAGTTCCAGATTGATATAGGAATAAGTTTTAAAAAGTAGAAAATGATTTTGAAGAGAAATCAGTTTTAGAAAATTTTACAGAAAATAGAGAATGGAAAAATAGATATTTCATTTTACCAAGAACTTTAATTTTGTATAAAGATTAGTTTTCTCCGAAGTATCCTTTTATGCACAAAAAAGTCAATCAGCTCTAGAACCTAGTAAGTGAAGCTAGAAAATAAAGGTGATTTTAGCAGTTTTTCTTTAGTAGCCCTAGTACCCTGTCTTTACTATTAAGCAAGTTGTTAAGAAACATTTTCAGGAACTGATCACTTTTGCTGGCCTATGTGAAAAAAGTTATAATTTATATCTAGATTCTAGAAGATGATGTAGAGAGTATTTTCTAAACCAGTGGGAACTAACCTTTGTGGCAGTTATGCCACAAGTTAGTCCACATCCTCCCTAAGTGCTACTATGATCCCCTTCCTTTGCCCATACTGCTGCTCTGCCTTTTGCTCCCTATTCTGTGCTCCCTGCCTGATCTCCCATTCTACTTTCTGCCCTATCTGCTGCTGTGTTGTCCCCTCCCTGATCTGTCATATGCCGCACACAGAGGCTACGTCTAGCACTTATGCTTCAGGTTGTCCAGTCCTGCTCTAAATGACCACCATTTCAAAAAAATGTCCAGCTGGGAAGACAAAATCAGGTGCAACTTTGTTAAAGCTCCATTACCAAGACTGATTCTAGCATGTAGTATTTGGTCTTAAGTTTCTCTTGTTGGATGCAATGGTCCAACTGAAAGGCTTTCTTTGATTTTTTTAGGTGAACCCTAACCTATCATAGGCAATTCAGAGTTGGATGCACAAAGTTTACTTGACAAAATACCTTACCACAAACTTACATTCAGTGTAGACCTCCCCATCAGAGTCTGGGCTGCTAGAGACCGTGAGAAGAGCTTGAGAGCCAATGCTATTCAAATCAACTTTTTCAATATCAGATACCATAGAGTTCACCACAAGCTGATCAAACAGGGCTGGTCGGGCAATCTGTAAGAGATGTCAGGGTAAAATGCTAAGGCTTACACCAGCATAAAGGACACATTGGGTGCAGATACATGTGCGCTTTACTGCGGAGCTGACTAATTAGCTCCACAGTAAAGTGTCACTGTCTACATGTGTATTAAAGTGCAGTAAACTCTGCTGTAGGATACTACTGTCCAGGACAAGTACTATCCTATGAAAGAATCATTTAGTGCACCAAGATGCATGTGTAGATGGTGGCCTGGGCTGGTTGGGGCACAACAATGCTATAGTGCAGGACTGTCAGCTGGCTAGCCCCTCCCTATAGCTCTCTTCTGCCCCAGCCAGCCCCCTCTACCACCCAGAGCCCTACTGCCACCCAGAGCCCTAGGTTGAACCCCCAGGTCCTCTGTCAGTCTGGGGCTGCCCTGCCCCAGTTCAAATTGCTGCAATCCTGGGTACATGTGTAAATGCTGCGCCCAAGAGCAGATGACTCTGGCACGAACTGCACCTGGAGTTCAGTCAGGGTAACTGGACATGTAGATGCACCAAGTAACTCCTTGAAGAAAAAGCATCTTCAGTTGGCTCATGGAGTTTTTTTTCCAGGCTGATGAATGATCAGATTTTTTCACAGCCCAGCTATCAAACTTCCCCACCACTAGAAGACAAATATGTGAACAATAATCATAAAGAGCTGTCACGACCAAGGGAGACCTGATTCAAGCTTCATGCTAGCTACCTCTTGGTTTGTTCAAAATTAATACTTTAGTAAAGTGCTTTCCACTGGAGCACTTGCAGAATGTCACTATCATTTTTTAGTTTTCTTAATTTATAAATAGGAGAAGTGAAGGCATTTATATAATATTTCCAAAGTTACAAAGGAGATCTATAGCAGACATTGACTATCAGATCTGTGTACTACCCACAGGACAACATGGTATTGTGCTGTTTCATAATTGTGAATAACTGGATAGTGTCAGTGGAGAGCTAGCATCATCAGACCTATGTCACTTACATAGAGAGATACCAGTTTAATCTAAAACAGAGAAACTCACTAAGCACCACACTGAAAGTCATGGAGAGGAGAATTCTTCTCTGTTAGGCCAGATGAATCGTTTGATATTTTCTACTTTGGGAAAAAAACCCTCATAAACACTTATCCCACATTGTAATTTGATTGCCAAAGCAAGAAGTGTTTGCAGAGAAACATACTGAAGGGGATTATAGTAGTGTCACCTGAAATGCAGATTTGCCCCTGACTAGTACTAGTTTAAAAATGGAAAAACTTGTTTCATGAACCTTTTATCATAAAACACATTCTATTTTATTCAATGGAAAATTTCAAAATGCTTTGACCAGTTCTACCCATGGCATTCTTTTGCTTGTTTTGTGACACTCAGTCTTGAATCCACAGGGAGGGAGGTTTTTTTGGCAGCAACTGGACTTTTAACAATATCATGCTGTATCCACTGCTCTGTGAGGCTTATTACATGTAATGTACAATGTCCTGTATGATGCAAATTCCCGTTCTTATCTCTCAGGCTTACCTGAGCTAGGTGCAAGAACGATGTCTGTCGTTTCAGAGAAGAAACAAATCTTCGTGCAATAGGAAGTTTCTTTTCCATCAGGGCTTCTGGTAGGTTTTCCAAAGAAGAAACTACCCACTGTTCCCAGTTTTTAGCAAAAGTTCTTATATCTGCTAGTAAACTACAGTAAAAATAATTTACTAAAGAAAGACCAACATCGATTTGCATCTTTTTTAAGGGGTATCTTTTAAAAAGCCAAGGGGCCTCCCGCAGAAATATCAGCAACATAATAATGCAGACAGACAAAATCTCAAGGAGGAAGGAATAGGAGGATTCACACATGACAGATACCAGTCCCATTCATAATGAATTGCTGGAAAGGTGCTTTGATATTATAGCCATGATTTTGATACAGAAATCTCACTAGGGAGAAATTAGTCTCTCTCCTAATAAAAGAACACTTTCAGTCTCCTTTATCCACAAAGATCTGTTCTGTAACCTACTTACTTTTATACCTACTCCCTTCATTCTCTTCCTTTCGTGTCCAAGTTCACTCAATACTCCTGTCTGGAGGGTTTCTCTTAAAGGAATGGATTTTCTTCCTAAACTGGCTACATTAGCTATTCAGCTAATGTGGGGGTATTCAAGCTTTTTTAGTCTAAGTAACCCTGGTGGCTGGACACCGAGCATGGAGGGCGAGGGGGTGGTGTGTGGCCGGACACTGAGTGGGGAGGCGAGGACAGTGTGCGGGTGGGCGGGTGGGGATGGAGCATTGCCGCCTCCCAGGAGCAGGGCCAGGGCAGGGCGGGGAACCTCACTGGGCTGGGGTGAGGGCAGCGGTTCCCCTCTGCAGGATAGGGAGGCTCACCGGGCTGGTGTGCGGCGGCAGTCACCACCACATGCGAGCTTCCCCGCCCCACAGAGGGATGCCACTGCCCTCACCCCACCTTGGCCCTGCTCTTGCAAAGCAGTGGCACTCCATCCCTGCACACTCACGCGTACCCCCTAGGATCAGTCCAAGTACCCATAAGGTAACATGTACCCCTAGTAGACAACCCCTGAGTTAATGGGAAAAAAGCTACAGCTGCTATATGAGAATTCCCCTTTCAGCCAGATGCCATAGGTAACTCCTGGGACAGGGGTATCTTGAGTAAATGAGAACAGATTCTCAGCTGCTGTAATTTAAATTGGCAAGGATGCTGCTAGAAATGGTCACATTGAATACAGGTTGTAAGAACTCTCCCCCTCATTACTCCCTAAGATCTATTCTAAGGTGTTAATAGCAACCACAGGCCTTATCCCGCAATCTTTATCCATGTAATTAGTTTTCAGTCAGAAGAAGAGTGCCACTGAATTCAGAAAGCTAGAATTTGATCAGCTGGGCCCCAAAAATGGAAATAAAAAAAAAGATTATACTCATTCAGTCTCGTTTAATTACAAATGTAATGTGAATATCAAGTCATAGGAGGAGAGGGCAACTACCCAGTACATCCAGAATTTAAAATATTTTGGAAAAACTTTCCACATAGGTCTATTTCAGTTTTACAGACTCCATCAGTTCAGACTACTTGCATGCATGGTTCCATTTTAGAAATGTATAGACAATTAATGAGGTGAGTGTAAAAAAATATATACTATCAACTCATCATCTGCTGCCTCCAAAGCTTTTTTGGAACATTTTACCTCCTAGTAATTAATATAGCATTAGTATAAACTTCCAAGTACTTACCTTTCTGGCATTTCTTGCATTGTTGCAGGAATAAGTACATCTGTAAGGACCTTGAACAAGATAATATAATACATTTTATTACACTTCCCTTTTCAACATATTGAGAAAGGAATTTAAGTCCTGGGAAATTTCACTTCTTGTGAAACAAGAACTTATCATAATGGAATGAGTTGTGACTGTTAAACAGAGCCAGCCCAATAATTCTGTGACAACTGGACAAGAAAGTTGATAGTACAAGGTTGAATGGATTATCATAGAATTATAGAAAATTAGGGTTGGAACGGACCTCAGGAGGTCATTTAGGCCCCCCCCCCCACCCCCTCCACAAAGCAGGACCATCTCCAACTAGATCATTCCAGCCAGGGCTTTATCAAGCCAAGCCTTAAAATCTTCCAAGGATGGAAATTCCACCACCTCTCTAGGTGACTTGTTCCCGTGCTTCACCATCCTCCTAGTAAGAAAGTTTTTCCTAATATCCAGCCTAAACCTCCCTTGCTGCAACTTGAGACCATTGCTCCTCGTTCTATCATCTGCAACCACTGAGATCAGCCTAGCTCCATCCTCTTTGAAGCCATCCTTCAGGTAGTTAAAGGCTGCAATCAAATCCCCCCTCAGTCTTCTCTTCTCTAAACTAAATAAACCCAGTTCCCTCAGTCTCTCCTCACAAGCCATGTGCCCCAGCCCACTAAACATTTTCATTGCTCTCCCCTGGACTTTCTCCAGCTTATCCATATCCTTTCTATATGGGGCCCCCAAAACTGGACACAATATTTCAGATATGGCCTCACCAGTGCTGAATAATTCCACTTCACCAGAGGGGAATAATTACTTCTCTCAGTCTGCTGACAAAACTCCTACTAATGCAGCCCAGTATGTTGTTAGCCTTCTTGGCAACAAGGGCACACTGCTGACTTATATTCAGCTTATTGTTCACTGTAACCCCCAGGTCCTTTTCTGCAGAGCCGCTGCTGAGCCAGTCAGTCCCCAGGCTGTAGCGGTGCATGGAGTTCTTCCATCTTAAGTGCAGGACTTTGCAGTTGTTCTTGCTGAACCTCATGAGATTTTTTTTGGCCCAATCCTCCAATTTGTTTAGGTCACTCTGAATCCTAGTCCTATCCTCCAGCATATCTACTACACCTCCCAGCTTTGTGTGATCCGCAAACTTGCTGAGTGTGCAATCCATCCCATCGTTCAGATTGTTAATGAAGATATTGAACAAAGCTAGCTCCAGGACCGACCCCTGGGACACTCCACTGGATACCAACTGCCAGCTAGACATCGAGTCATTGATTACTACTCCTTGAGCCTGACAATTCAGCCAGCTTTCTATCCACCTGACAGTCCATTCATCCAACCCAGACTTCCTTAGCTTGCTTACAAGAATGTTGTAGGAAATGCCTTGTTTAAGTCAAGCTATATTATGTCCACTCCTTTCCCTGCATCCATAGAGCCAGTCATACATAGAAGACAATCAGGTTGGTCAGGCATGACTTGCCCCTAGTAAATCCATGCTGACTGTTCCTAATCACCTTCTTCTCCTCCAAGTGCTTAGAAATGGATTCTTTGAGGACCTGCTCCATGATTTCTCCTGGGACTGAGCTGAGGCTGACTGGTCTGGAGTGTTGGATTGAATTTCTGAATATATCAGAAACTTTTGATGTGACCTTAAGCCAGCTGCTGTGCCTTGCCATAATAGAGATACTTATCTTTCTCCAAGTCATTGTCTTCTTGGTCTATTTAGACAGTAAACTTTGGGGGGCAAAAGTTTCCCTCACAGCACAAAACCGTGACTCTCCCTTCTAGATATTTTAGGTCCCCAATATCAGGGTACTGGAGCATTTCATTCTCTTCAATGTGTTTATTTTCGCAGCACCCTGTCAGGTATGGACCCTGCTTGAGAGATGTGGAAATCAGTGGAAGTTAGGTGCATAAATACAGTATGATCTGAGCTGAGGGGCATGAGCACATGAACAAGCTACTGGGAGGTAAAAGGAGATTTACCACAGGTCAGCTGCTTCATGGTAACTGCCTGTGTATATGGTGCCCCCTGCCTCCAGTTATCCTCCCCCACACTCTCCCCAGCCTCAAGTAGCTCCTTGCAGGCTGCCAGTCTGCAAGAGGAAACCCATGGTTTCCTGCAGTTTTCTCATTTAAAGGGGGAAATCCGCATTTTTCTCCTTTAAAGGAGAAAAGCTGCATTTTTACATGCTTTTTCACAGAGAACAGGAAACCCAGATGTCTGTTGATTAGTGTCCTCAGCAATCGAGCCACCTCTTCTTCTCCTGCCCATATATCCTGGAGAGTTTTCAGCATTTGGTGCAGGTCCTGTAACTCATTCACAGAGATGTGAAAAAACTCTTGAGAGATTCCACTGGATTCCAACCCCTTCAATTGTCTTTTTGGCAAAAAGGAAAGTCTATGTCAAGACCAACATTCTTATACAGTTCATATAATATAAATACATTTGTTCTGACTATTGTGATCATTATTATTGGTAACCCACTAAAATGCCCAATTTTTTGATAAATATGTCAAGAACGTTTTGAATTTTTAGAAACAAGACCTAAAGGAAAGTGACACAGAAGAAATACTGAATTCTTTCATTTGATTAAGTTGTGGGAAATTTTATTATTTCAGGGTTCTAATTCTGTACTTTGTGGCATTTTACCCCTTTGACATAGATGTTATCTTTATTCATAACAAGTGTGTATGTAGATTTTGTACCATCCATTTGTAATATGAAAACCCAGTATAAATCCCAGGCACATAAGGAGATAAGGCAGTGGAGATAGTCAAAGAGGAGTAATTCATATCTTTATACTATTTTCATACTACATATTGAATCTAGTAATATCTACTTTCTTTACTGCTTGTAATGCCTTTGTGAAATACATTTTCCTTTGGTGGATATTTTTCTTGATTTCAGTAAAGAAATACAAATAGTCCCAGAAAAATATGTAGTGTTAAGTAACACCCCCCACCTCTGTTCACACATCAGTTTGGTTTTCTGACTTGCCAGTTGCTCTTTCATGTAATCTATGTGGATTTGTGAAACTTATCAGGAAGATTGCAATAATCCTTTCATATTTGTATGGTGTCTCCTGTGGAACTCCAAGTCCTTTAAAGACTTTCATTACTTACGGATCAGATTTTTCTAAGGAATCCAACACACCCACCTGAAAGTGGCATCCCCTGATTGCTGCTATTTCTTTTTCATGAATGGTAAAGTTAAACAGAGAGAGATTAGATGCCAAAGTCTAAGATCCCTACTGTAGCCTGGTTTACACAGTTTTTACAGTGATTCAGTTTTTCAGTTAGAAAGGGAATTCTTTTACCAAAATAGATGCATCAGTATAGCCATGAGGGTGGAAACACCACTCCATACTATGCAGTAGTGAGAGTTCCTTAGCACACTACTGTGCCTATATCTATAGTAGGGGTGCACTGATAGAGATTTATGGGGGTGATACCGATAGCCAATTTTTAAGGGGGCATATTGGCCAATACTGATCTGATTTCCAATGTGCAGCCTGGCAGCTTGAAGAGCAGCATCCGGCTGGTAAGTCTGTCGTGGTAGAAGGGGAGGGCATACGCATGAGGAGGGCAGATCAAGACCCCTGCGGTGAGGGAGTGGGGCTGGGGCTGGGGCAGGGGCATGCACTTCCCAGCCAGGGCAGAGCATGGGATGGAGCCACGGCTCGTTGCAGAGCGTGGGGACGGAGGGTGGCTATTGCCGCTGCGCATACCCCAGAAGGGCATAGGGGGCGTGTGACCTCGGATCTGTGTACAGGGTGGGGCGGGCTGCTTCTGTGGGCTGGGGCCGGGGCTGTGCTCCAGCCCATAGCAGCAGCCCGCCCTGCTTTGTGCACAGATCTAGAGGCACATGCCCCCTCCATGCCCTCCCAGGGTGTGCACAGCAGCAGGAGCTGCCCCCTCTCCCCGTGACCCCCAGATGAACCGTGACTCCATCCCGTGCCCCATCCCACCCCCACTGGACAGCACCTGCCACTGCTCCAGCCCCATTCCCTCTCTCATCGCGGGGTCCTCTATTTGCCCCTTATCCCCCTCTCCTCCCTCCTCCCCTTCCACCACAACAGACTTACCAGATGGACACAGCTATCCAAGCTGCCGGGCTGTGTTCCTTACTGCCTACGTGCTGTACTGTGGCTGCACAAAAGCATCTATCAGCCACATCAGACAAAAAAAGCTGATTTCCGATGCCGGCAATTTTCTTTATATGGGTGCCGATCTGATATCAGACCAATGTATTGGTGCACTTCCATTCTACCTCTACAGGTACCACTACTTTCACAAGAGAAGAGTCAGACCAGGCCTGTGCCACAAGGTTTGCCACAATTAGGCTGGTTGACCTTCCAATCAGAATAGCACCAGAAAAAAATGTAACTGGTGCAGGTGGATCAATTTATTAAGGAGATTATACAGCATAGAGCTTGTGACAGCAGGCAACTGGACTTACTCTCCCAGAGGGTCCCTTAGAGTCGTGTGTTCCCATGGTTATTATACCAGAAAAAACCCCCTGATAGAAAGCCAGGTGATGCTGGCAAAAGAGGTTTTTTACCATTCTAGTTAAGAATTTTGAACAACATCTTGTAGAACAACATAAACTGTACTGGGAAAAGGGCTTTTGATATTGGTATTAGTTGTAACTATTTTGTGCATAGGCAAGACCTCATCTTTATCCAGGCCTAATCTTCATTGTGGGTGTTGGATCCATAAGGGGAATTTTCTTCAGTAAAACATGAGTGAGAAGCTCAGGATTTGACCTTGTGTGTGACAAAAATTGTGGCTGATTAGGGAACAGAAATTCTGTTGATTAGGGAATTCTGTTTTCACTTACACTGGTTTTATGCAAATAACATTTATAGCATCAATGCTGGTTTTACACAAGTGTGGAGAAGACAGTCAAGTCCCAGGACTTCTCTTGTTCTAACTTCTGTATTATATTTTACCTAGATACAAGCAGTGAGATGGCAGAGGTTATCCATATAACTGAATGCCTAGCTCACCTTGTAGAGTATTGAGTCACAGACACAGAAGATGTCGATGATGATAGGATTTTCAAGCAGAGGCAGAAGGTGGTCTGGCATTCCTTGCCAAAAATGTAACAAAAAATGCTGAATCTATGGAAAGGAAACCAAAACATTGGTTGTGCATAAGCAGTGCCTTTTCTGCTACCTATTCATATATAACCAAGAATGTGTGTGTAAACAGACTTACCTCTTCAAAGTTCCCATTAATTGCATTGTCAAGGACACACTGACAGTGTGTTTTATACATCATGATAAGGGTATCTACCTGTTTTGGAAGGAAGAAAGATTAAACAGAATCTGTCCCCCTTCCCCTTTAGTATTATAACAAAACAGATTTCTGCTTTCTTTTGCTAGTGCTTAAGTACAGAACACAAAATTTGTAGTATAAAAGAAATGAAAATGTATGACACAAATATATATATTGTGGCCATAGCTCTTAGGAAATAACAATACATTGAACATTCATATCTAATACTTTATCAACATTTCCAGGGCCCCTTCCTATTATCAGAAGTGCAGGTGCATCACTGAGTATATTTTGAAAATGCATACAGAGCTATTGCATGGACAGAAAGACGTTACTTCTACCAAGTCAGTTGGTGAAGTACATGGACATTTTTAAAGATAGGATTAATCACTAAGAGCAGTGCAGGTTAATCATTAGGCTACTATAGGCGTCTATGAGTGTTTTGAAACATCATCTGGTTGGACAAATGAGAAAAAAAAGCTGTCAGTCATTTGGTCAAAGTTTAATCATCACCTTACAAGAGCAAAGCTTTAAACCAGAAATTTTCTTTCATCTCAATAAACTGATTCATCTCAAGTATAATGCTTTTTTATATTAATGGGACTGCAGAGAAATAATTGACAATAGAAATTGTCTTCATGTCTAGAAAAATGAGATCACATGTCAGTAAAGTTGTTCATCTGCAAAACATTTTCAAAAAGAAAAAAACTTAGACGCTGGGCAAAATTTGGTTGATGGTCCAGGCTCCTAGAAAGCTTGCTAAGGTTAGCAAATGTTTCCAGTGAACCACAGCCCACCTTTGTATGAAACAGGTTATACTTTAGACTGTCAGAAAATGTATAATGAGTTCTAATACATAGTTCCTTGTGTGAAACACTATTGACTTTGAAAGTGTTGCACAATAACATGTTAATGAATTCAACATATTAATTAATTATTTGTAGACCTTTTGAAAACTATTAAGTAAATAAAAAATCAAATTTCAGAAAATATCATCCTTTTTTAATCGTAACTCCCACAGTTGACATTTGCTTTTCCAGGTCCTCCACTCAAATTTCTTCATCCTCATTAGAAATCATTTGAGCTACATTCTTGATATTTTCACAGTTCTGCAGCTGAATGAAATATTTATTTCCAAGAATTATACTGTGGTACATCAATGAAACTATATCTGTACAGCAGTGGCCATGTGGAGCAGCAGCTGGGCAGCACAGAGGCGGTGGTGAGCATGAGTGCCTGGTGCCTCCAGAAACTGGGGGGGGGGCACCTGCAGAAGCCGCCGATGGCAGCGGCCCTCTCAGGGGGGGCACGAACCCTACCAACAGCATCAGTGTCGGCCATCGGGGGGGCACTGCCCCCTTCAGGGGGGCACATACACCCCCTACCAGTTGCCTGTGGTGGTGAAGCAGCCGCACTGCAGCAAGCTCTGGGTGGGCAGCAGCAGAAAACACTGCCTTACGGTGGCAAGCAGGAGGGCTGCTTTCCTTTGCATTGAGCAGTTCATGCCCTGCTGCTGCTGCCACACCTCAGCCCTGACGGGTGACCCAGAGCTGGCGTGAGGCCCAGGCTAGCAGCGGCAGTGGGGAATGAACTGGTGCTCAACGCGGGGGAAAAGCGGCTGCTCCCCCTCCCCCTGCCGGTGCCCTGTGCTGAAGCCACTCAGAGCTCCTGCAGGGCTGCCTGTGCCTGCTCTCTGTTGCCACCGCTGCCCCACAGGGTGATGGTGACACAGAGGAGAGACAGGACAGCCCTGCATGGGCTTTGTCTGGCAATGGGGGGAGCGCACTTTTCCCCTGTGCTAAGCACTATCCTCGCCGCTACTGCTCAGTCCAGATGGGAAAGCATGGGGTGCATGGGGTTGGGGCTGAGTGCTTGTCGCCACCTGTACCACAGGGCTGGGACAGGGGCATTGGGAGTGAGTGGGTGCACGGGAGCCAGCAGCACCCAGGCGGGAGCACAGGGCTCGTACTGGTGTCCTGGGGCCAGTGCTGGCAGGGCCCAGAGCAGGGCAGCAGGAGTGCAGGATCCTAGCTGGCAGAGGCTCTATGGAGCAGGTCAGTTCCCTCCTCTCCCTGCTGGTGCAGCCCAGCCCAGATCTACAGACCCCTGCCAGCCCACACCCCACGCTCCTACCGCCCCACTCTTGGCTGTACTAGTGCTGGCCCCGGGACACTGGTGCAGGCCCTGCGCTCCCACTTGCTACCACTTCCCCCCCGCCGCTGCTTTCCTCACTTTCCTGCCCGCCCACCCACTGGCCACTCTGCACTACATGGCTCCCATACCCACTCACACACACATCCACACATCCCTACAACCCCCATATGCAATCACTTCTGCATATATAGCACAAGCACACAGAAATCAGGACAAAATATATTTTTTAATTAAATTAAAATATATTATTATGGGTGTTTGATTTTTAGTATGTAATTTGTTTTTTATTCCCCTAAAATGGCAAACCCTCTTCCCCAAAGGAGTACTTCCAGGCGCAAGGGGAGGGACTTCCAGTGGCAAAGGTCAGAGGTTAGGGGCAGGACTTCTGGTCCCAAGGTGGCAACCAGTGGGTGGGACACCTGTCAAAGGGTGGGGCTACCCATGTGACCCTCGACAGCTCGCCAAAATTCAGTAAGGGGCCCTCTGCCCAAAATAATTGCCCACCCCTGATCTACAGTCTCAGTCATGTTGTACTCAATCTTCTTTCAACCACAACAGAGATTATCTACATAAGAAAGTTCTGCTTTAACTTAAACTAAGTTATGTTCCCACTATCATTTCTAAAATGCAGAATATACTTTTGTTTATCCAAAAAGAGCCTGTTTTTTGGAACCATGAGAATGATCTAACACAGCAACTGCAGACAGGAGGACAAGGCCAGTAGACTTGTTTTGCCAGATACCTCCAGCTGCCCTCAGACATTGATGTTACAGGAGTACCCTGTAACAAATGAGAGATGTAAGAAAGTCATATATAGTTAGTGGATAATGTTTCTGTAGCTGGTACCTATCATTGGATGCATCTACATGAGATGCTACTGTACAGTGGTTATTTTGCATTTATTTAGCGCTTGTATAACAAGTACTAAATAAAAATACAGTAAACAGAGTTACTGCACAGTAGCACCAGCATACATCTTTTAAGTGATGCTACTGAGCAGTAACCTAATAATACTGTGCAGTAGCGTATTAGCACTGTCTGTGCTGTGGCATGCTACTATGCAGTATTATTAGGCTACTGCACAGTCAGAGTCTCATGTAGATGCACCCACTATGTAGCATAATTTGCAGGTTTTGTTCAGAACCAATATCACTGTTGTTGTGCACTATCTAGAGCTTCTTGTTGATAGCTATTCATAACACAAGGTTTTCCATAGTCTCTACTCTTTTTACACCTCCTGAAGAAGTAGACATAAGCCCAGTAGCTATAACTTCTGAGAAGATGAATAAGGTAATAGGTACTGGAAGAGCAGGTCAGTAGCTTTCAGTTACCCCTTGCCCCAATATCACAATGGTAGCTACCATTTTGGCCACCTCAGGGGATTTAACTGTCAATTTCCAGAGTTTACAACTGGATCTAGGGAGTTAACCTCTGAAGTTTGGAGTTGTAAAAGATGCATATGTCCTGTGGAACACGTAAAACTTACACGTACATATGATGATGACTAGTGGTTTACATCAGCAAAACTGCTAATTGAACAGTTCACAGAGCAAATGTGGATCAGAGTAACACAGTACTGACTGGTAAAATACATTATTTCCCATTTCTTTTGTGCTAGTCAGTTACATAAGTTCTAAGGCATTGTTCTTGTTTCCTACTAGGATGACATATAGAACTGAACAAATTGTCCATACTACAATTGTACATAAAATTAAAACAGTGAAATACAAATAGAATCCTGGCTAAGAAGTATTTGCTAAGGAAATTAGTGAATAACTTCAAGTAATCCATATGCTCAAAATTTTGTGATCTGTTCATAGACCATTGATGAAGATGGGAGGAGGGAAGAAAAGATAAAATTCACCCAATTATTTCTTGCTCCAATCTAATCAGTAGAAAATTTACTTTAAAATACAAAGGCATTTGGAATGAATACAGCTCTTAACTATTTGTTTGTTTTGCTCCTCCCCTTCCTACATACCATCAGTTTGTAAAATACTAGATGAGTTAATAGGTAAATAATTCAACCACCTTTCCACTGGAGAGCCAGTTAATCGGCATTAGTAAAGGTTTGCCCCTTCTATAAATCAGTCACCTATGTTTGATTATGGACATTTGTGACTCTTTCATGTCAATACTATGATGTCTCAAAGGCTGAGATATGGAAGGAAAGTTCGCTGACAAGTTTTGGTTTGTAAGTCAAGAAAGAGGCATCTCACATTTTACCTTGTCTTTAGAAATGCACCCTTGAAGCACAAAGTGTTGAGCACTGGGGAATTCTGGAAGGAGAGTTCCCGTTTTGGAACTAAGAGAATACTTTCGAGTGAAGCCACCCTAGAGTATAAAGAAAATACAAGGAAAAAAATTAGATATGTGCCCCACTACTAAAACAATTATTAATACTAAACTGATGTTTTACCTAGCAAGACTCAAAAATTCCAAAATATTTAAGTTTGGAAGTAATCCATTCATAATATTGATTCTTATTGAACCTTGGTCCTAGAATAGTAAGGACTTAAACACATGTTCATCTTTAGTCCCCTAAATTCTGTTTACAAAATGGTACAAACCTGGACTTAACTCCACTGACTTCATGAACTTCTGCTGGCTTCAAAGAACTGACTCAAGATTTACAGGCACAGAACTCTGTAAGAGCAGGCAATGATATTGGGCCAAATTTATCCTAAATATAACTCTGCTGACTTTTCACAGTGCTGTTTTAGACCCATGGTTTCTAGAAGAGACTTTTTAGAAACTTTTAATACAATAACACATTCACTTCAGTAAGTGTCCAGATACACTGAAGAGGCTTATGATGGAAATAGGTTCCCATGTATTTATAAAGGTCCCCAGAATAGTCTGATTTGTACACAGGTGATTCCCATTCATTTCCTTCCATAAAACAAATTAGCTCAGAGAGCTCTGCTACTTTCATAGCTGACAGAGTTCTAGATTAGTCCAAAAAAAACAGTTTATTGGTTTGATCCCTGCTGAAGACTGAGTTATCCAGGAGGAGGTAGCCACAGATTATTACTGGTCTGCAGCAATACTATGAAATAACTCCTAAGCTTAGAACTGAAGCTCCTAGACAATAGGAGCTCTGCTTAAGTAAAGCCTCCAGGACTGATCCTTGGAGCAAGAGGTGAAAAATAATTTGTTCAACTAAAATACCAAGGCAATATAGGTAGGCAAATTATGATTAGCCAAGCTGGAATTTGGTCAGAACACTATGGTCATTCCCCTCTTCCAAACAGTGCTGGGTGCCTACAGGTAACCCATAAGGATAGTATTCTTAGGAGTACTTCAGTGCCTCAAACTAAGCTGGCTGTGGCACTACTTAGTACTGACTAGGCATGTCTATACATGCAATTAATGAAGACCAAAAAATTGTGGAGCTTATTGCTCCAGAGTATTTTGCTCTCAGACACACCATTTGAATGTGCACCCAGGAGCACAAAACTGTGGAGCAAATTGCTCCAGAGTTTATTTGTGTGCATCACATGAAGCCCGGTTGGAACAGTCCAGGCTGGCAGGTGACCCAGGGGGTCAGCCCGCCAGCCGAGGGCTGCTCTGACCAGGCTCCATGTGCTGTAGGGAGGGACGGGGTGTTGGGTGGAACACAGGAAGCCTCAATGCAGGGCTAGCTGGAAGGCAGCCCCCACACTGAGGCACACTACACCTCAGCCAGCTGTGGAGTGGCACATGGAGATGGGAAAGCAGCCAGCCCAGCATAACTACTCCACCATCTCCACATGCTGTGGAACAGCTGCCTGGGGTGAGGCTCCACAGGTTAGTCCTGAGCTGAGGCACCCTGTGCCTCAGCCAGCCAGGGCAGCATCTACACATGTGCTGCTGTGCATGAAAAAATGCTGCAGCAGGGGAGGGCCTGTATATACAAGTCCTCCCCTTCTGCAGAGTTTATTATTTTCATATGCCCTAATAGGGAGGTACATGTAGATGCTGACATGTTTACTGTGCAGTTAATTGGTCAACTGTGCAGTAAACATCTTACGTAGATGCACCCAATCAGAGAAAAAATGCTCCCTCCACCAGCTTTTGTGGTTCCTAAACATTCATCATTGTTTTCCACTTAAGTAGTAGCCTACCTTTAAGCCTGCTGAATTTGTGAGGACTAAAAAGCTCAGCACAAGTGCAGGCTATATATAGAGCGAAAAGTATATTAAAATTGTAACCCTGAACTTTCATATTAGCCATTCCAGTGTGAAGAGACAGTAGGTGCATATCAAGAAACAATAACAGCCCTACTTTACTGACTGTACAATAGGACATGACAAATCCACACTTCTTTAGGTTGCTCATTTTATAATTCTCATGCGATTCTGGCTGCATCAGCTTACTTCCAGCAAAATTTGAACAGTAGCACCATGTATAACATTACTAAGGCTTTCTTACTTTTACTATTTACACTGCATTAAACTTAGTAATACAGTATGAACGACTAGAATTAAGATGAAACTACAACTGTCAAAATAAATTAACATAATACATGTCATCCTTCCTTGATGAATCATGTTGGCTCCCGTATATCACCTCTGGGCAGACTGGCCGAGGCTCAGCATTCCATTTAAATCTCACCTAATCCTCTTAGACAGGCATAGCTGCGCACAGAGCCTTGTACAGACCTTTTGAACTGAGAAGACTTTCACCCTAAGAAGCCTACTAATTCTGGATGAGGCAGGATTTATCAAAGGTGTTGCAAACAATTTCTGTGCCTTAGGCAGCAGCAGATGAGCCAATAGCCATCACTCTTGTGCCCCCTCTGAATTGGTGCTTGGGGATGCTGCTTTATTTGCTCACTCCTAGTTATACTACTGTCCACTAGGCAAGTACATTTACATTTTAGTTTGAGAGCTTAAGTGGTAGCTGGCCTTGTTCTAGCCCTCTGTGGGCACATCTACCCGTGCATGAATGCGCTTTTCTTAATGTGCATTAAATGTAGTACCTCCAATGATAGGTACTAAATGAATGTACATTAGGCCGCCCTAATGTGCAGTAGTGCAAGCACACATTTTTTAGGTGATGCTTAATGCACAGTAGCCTATTTTACGGAGCATAAGTGTAACAGCACTTTTTTTACGCTATACTTTAATGCATAGTAAAATAGGCTACTGTGCATTAAAGCGCACGTGTAGATGAACACTGTGTAGGGTGAATCTCACCTTAGTATATTAGCAAGTTGAGCTGGTGTGGTAAAAGGAATTAAGAAAAAGATGTTTTGTTGTGTCCCCTGATAAGATCTCACCAGTTGGAGGTCAGTTTTAAATTAAGTAGTTTCAAATGCTGAGTTTAGAAAACAGGAACTGCAGCTGATCATTGTTTATCATTCATGTTCCCCTTTAAAAAATTGAAATGTTAAACCTGATATTGCTGATCCATTTTTGAGGCCGTGTACGTGAGCTATCTCATAATCAGATTTTAATGAACAGTTCACTGCTATTTGAAAACAAAACAAAATAGAGAGCTAGGAATGAAAAATGTATGTTACTTAAACAGCACCTTGCCTGCATTAATGTATTCAACCACAGGTAAAGAGAGAAATGAAAGAAATGATAGAAATGTAAATACCGTATTGGCCTAAACATTAGATGGTTAAATACAGGTTTGAGTCAGTATTTCTTCAGATCTACAATTGCCTTTCAGCATCAGGAGGTTTTTTTATTGATAACAGAAGCAATCTATATGACTTCATTACGCAATTGTCCATTAAATGTATTAAAAGCTTTTATTAAAAGAAATTAGTTCATTTAAAAGGCTTTCTTTTAAAGAGTAGAATATTTGCAACATTTTACTCTGCTAATGGGCTTATATGACTGTGGCTCAGTGCTAGGTTTGATATCTTAACCCACTGCCACCTGCCCTTTCATTTTAATACCATCTGTTTTTAATGGCTATTTAACATTAAGATAATTACAGCAATATTACCTGCCTAATTAACCATGCAGTCTCTAATGGCACACTAACTGATTTAGATAAAAGAATTTGCTAATATCTTCACATACAGAAAAATACTAGAAATGTGATAAAACATACCAGCAATAAATATTCACTAAAATTTCACTGACAAATTCTTTAAAATCTGTTGATGTTTGAGTTGCTAATGGGAGTTCCTCCTCAAGAAATCAAGGTAAATCATTTCTGGAATAACTAATTGAACATATTTTCAGGGTAGTGAACAGGAATTCAGGCATATTATCCATTTACTTTAATGGAAAGAATGTTGCCTATTTTTCACTTACACCAATTGGATAAGACCCTGCTTAATTCTTGTTTCTAAACCAGCCTGCACAGTCCCACACAACAGAGAGTCAGACTACACCACTCTTATGTTGAGAAGTCTCTTCTTGCCAGTACTGGGCATACTTCATTGGGTTTAGCTGTCAATCAAGCCAAAGATGCTGTACTGGCAAAGGTAGGATGTCTAATAGGAATGAGGACCTGTGGAAATTACTGTGTCCAAGGTGGAAAAAAATTTCAAAAAGCTTAATGTATTCAGGTCAGGGTGACCCAATAATCCCCCTCCCAGAATTCTGAAAGAATTGGCACACAATATTGCAAGTCTAAAAGCTAGAATTTTTAGTAAAACTATTAAGCTGGGTATTGCAAGCTGTAACTGGAAAATAGTAACTGTACTACCTGTAAAATATACCTATATTACATTTAAGAAAAGGGAAAAGAGATGAACTGAGTAACTACAGGCTCATTAGTCTGCCTTCAACTGTATGCAATTAAAGCAAGGGCTTTAGAACAAATTTTGAAGGAAAGAATAAAGACATGGAGGTAAAGGGCAAATGGGATAAAATGCAACATGCATTTATCAAGGACTGGCCACTCTAATATCTTTCTTCAATAAGATAAATGATTACTAGACAAAGAAAAGGCAGTAGACCTCATTTATGTGGACTTTAGTAAAGATATGGTATCATAGAGAAAGTATTAGTTAAATTGGAGAAGATGGGGATTAGTGAAAGAATTATTAGGTAGGTAAGAAGAGATGACAGTGGGCTGTAATGAAAGGGAAACTGTTGAGCTAAAGGCTGTTTACTGCTAATAAAGAGTCTCAAGAATCAGGCTTTGGACAAATATTAATTTATACTTTTATTAATAACTGTGGCTCAAGAAGCAGGAGCCTGCTAATTCATAGATTCATAGATTCATAGATGTTAGGGTCGGAAGGGACCTCAATAGATCATCGAGTCTGACCCCCTACATAAGCAGGGAAGAGTGCTGGGTCTAGATGACCCCAGCTAGATACTCATCTAACCTCCTCTTGAAGACCCCCAGGGTAGGGGAGAGCACCACCTCCCTTGGGAGCCCGTTCCAGACCCTGGCCACTAGAACTGTGAAGAAGTTCTTCCTAATGTCCAATCTAAATCTGCTCTCTGCTAGCTTGCGGCCATTATTTCTTGTAACCCCCGGGGGCGCCTTGGTGAATAAATACTCACTAATTCTCTTCTGTGCCCCCTCTCCAGGTTATCCGCATCCCTCTTGAAGTGCGGCGCCCAGAATTGCACGCAGTACTCCAACTGCGGTCTGACCAGCGCCCGATAGAGGGGAAGTATCACCTCCTTGGACCTATTCGTCATGCATCTGCTGATGCACGATAAAGTGCCATTGGCTTTTTTGATGGCTTCGTCACACTGCCGACTCATGTTCATCTTGGAGTCCACTAGGACTCCAAGATCCCTTTCCACTTCCGTGCCACGCAGCAGGTCATTCCCTAGGCTGTAGGTGTGCTGGACATTTTTCCTCCCTAGGTGCAGCACTTTGCATTTCTCCTTGTTGAACTGTATTCTGTTGTTTTCTGCCCATTTGTCCAACCTGTTCAGGTCTGCTTGCAGCTGTTCCCTGCCCTCCGGCGTGTCCAGATCTCCCCATAGCTTTGTGTCATCTGCAAGCTTGGACCGAGTACATTTCACTCCCTCGTCCAAGTCACTGATGAAGACATTAAAGAGTATCGGTCCAAGGACCGAACCCTGTGGGACCCCACTTCCCACACCCTTCCAGGTCGAAACCGACCCATCCACCACGACTCTCTGGGTGCAGCCCTCCAGCCAATTCGCCACCCACCGGAACTGTGTAGTCATCCAAGTCACAGCCTCTTAACTTGTTCACCAGTATGGGGTGGGATACCGTATCGAAGGTCTTCCTGAAGTCTAAGTATACGACATCCACCCCTCCTCCTGTGTCCAGGCGTTTCGTAACCTGGTCATAAAAAGAAACTAGATTGGTCAGGCACCATCTGCCTGCCACAAATCCGTGCTGGTTTCCCCTCATCATAATTTGTCCTGCCGGGCTCTCACAAATGTGAGCCTTGATAATTTTTTCAAAGACTTTGCCAAGGATGGAGGTGAGACTGACTGGCCTATAGTTGCCCGGGTCCTCCTTCCTCCCCTTTTTGAAAATGGGGACCACATTGGCCCTTTTCCAGTCCTCTGGGACTTGGCCCGTGCGCCACGAGCTTTCAAATATTCCCGCCAGTGGCTCTGCAATGATGTCGGCCAGTGCCTTCAGCACCCTCGGATGGAGCTCATCCGGGCCTGCCAACTTAAAGGCATCCAGTTCTTTCAAATGACTCTGCACCATCTCAGGGTCTACGCATGGTAGTCTGGCGCCTTGCTGCTGCCTCTCTTTAACCCCAGTGAGAGACTTGTCGTGCCCCTCACTTAGGAACACTGAGGCAAAGAACTTGTTGAGGAGTTCAGCCTTGTCCCCTCTGAAATGAAAGTTGTTGGTGACACAAAGGTGAGAGGCAACACTTGTATGGTGGTAGAGTGGAATATCATTCAAGAAGAACCGAGTGACCTTTAAAAATTGACTAAAAGAAATGGGTTTAAATTTAACAATACAAAATTCAAGGTCAGGCATGTAGTGACTAATAATAAGAATTTCTGCTATAGTCTGGGAACTCATCAGCTGCATAAGGCAGAAGAAGATGACCTGGTACCTGTCAATCAAAATATAACTATGAGATGTCAGAGTTACAGAAAAACGCAAATATGATCTTAGAATGTCTCAGACCAAGTATTTCCAGAGGCAGAGGGAAAAAATAAAGCCATTGAACAAGCACTGGTAAACTCTCATCTGGAATACTAAGTACAGTTCTAATAATCTCATTCATTCACGAATGACATATCCAAAATGGAATAGGTGCAGCGAAGGGCTACAAGGGTGATTAGGGAAATGGAAAGCCTATCTTATGAGAATACTATAAAAAACTGTCTTGTTCAACCTTAAAAGACAAAGATGGAGAGGGGATATAACTGGTCTCTATAAATATAGCAGAGAGGTAAACACAACAGAGGGATAGAGCTATTTAATCTATAAAACAATTCAAACCTAAGAACAAGTGAGATAAACTGTCCATGTATACACTTATGCTGGAAATTAGAAGAAGAAGGAGGTTTCTAAAAAGTTAGTGACATGCTGAAGTAACTTTCCAATAGTAGGTTTTTGTAGCCATTATTGCAAATTTTTAAGATGGAATAGCCTTATGAAGGGGATTATATGATGTGGGTGCCTACAGTAACAGAAAACTAGACTCGATGACCTAGGAGTTCCCTTCCACTTCTATATATCCTCTATTCCTGTAATAATGTAATATGCACTTAGCCTCAGTAAAAGCAGTAGATAATATAGGGCTGTTACAATTTTCAAAGAAACTGGTATTGAAAAACTCTACCCAATAGCATTACTGTGAATAAACAGTTTCGAGGTGAAAGGAATCAGGGCACAGTGCTTACCTCATTTTTCAATTTGCTTCCAGAAAACCTTTGAAAACAAATGAATGTTATTGCTTCATTAAAAAAGAACATAACAGTTATTTCAAAAAATGTAATGCATCATCTAGAACAATAACAATCAGGAGCCTCCAAAATAAATATGTCTAAAGAATTAGGTTTTTAAAAAATGTTATTACTTCTGTTAGTTCCCAAAAACATGCAAATAACACTAAAGCCAGGGCAGACATTTTTTAGAAGTGAAGGATTTAGGACAGTGAATAAGCATGAATGTACATTTCAAGATTCTGTCTCATTTGCAAACCTGGGTAACCTCACAGAATCAAATAGGCAGCACAGAAGCAAGTTAATGATATATTTAGCTGGAATCTAGAATATTTTATAATGGTTGAAGTAGATTTAGACTGGGGGGGGGGAGGGGGAGGAAGCTAGGGAAAGGGGAAGGAGTATTCAATATTTCCCTTTTGAGGTGAATGAAAAAACCCCCATAGATTAATGATTGCCAGAAATGGCCTGCTTTCTGTACATGCAGAACAGTTTCATTGTGTTTAGGATGTACTTCTGATGGAGGCATTTCATTAATAACTACAAGGAATACTTAATAGTTCAGTTATTATTGTATTATACTAATGACCATATCCAATGCCCATAAAAGTCAATGAAAAGACTCCCATTGACCTTACTGGTTTTTGAAGCCAGCCATAGGTGCAGTAAATACAAAACATAAAATTTTAATTAGAAATGATAACCTAAGGAATCCCTGGTTTTATAAGGATCAATTCAATGATGAAAACAATGTTGTTATGACTTGTTTAATTATTGGCATTTCTCCCTTATTTTAGCTGCCAAGTGATAAGATTACACCGGCAATATGAACCCTTAAAATTGTTAAGGACAATATTGTGGTTTCATGTTTCTGATTTGTGCCCTATTGACAAGAAGTGGAGCTTTAACAGCACAGCAGAGGTGGCCAAAGGCATTCTGCCCACACAGGTCAGACCCAGGAGAAGAGAATGGCTCAGAGGCATAATTAGAAGGTGTTGACTTCTGACATTCAAGCACCAAGAATAAAGGGAGGGTACAAACAGACTCACTGACTACAAGGTATGTATTTTGGATAGAGCAGCATGGGGACAGCCTGATTCCAGACAAGCCAGGCAGCCTTTGCTGACAGAGTTCCTCTAGAGCCCCATTCAAAAGCTCTTCCCATACTGCTGCCTGTGTAATTAGTAGGAACGGGCTACACTTTCTTCTCTGAAGGATGGGAGGCTTATTATTAAAGGCCTAAGGGATAAATTTACAAAGGAACTTTTGACGTTTAAGTTGGCAGCTAGGCATCTCTGGCTACATACTGACATGCCCTCAAGCATGCTGTGCTGCTATAGTTAGACATCCTCCAAAAGCAGAACTATTCTGCAACAAGTGCCATTCTTTCTGGTTTAGGAAGCAGCCTACCCAGAACTGTGTAGCTTGCTTGAGGGTGCCGCTGCCAAGTATGGTCAGGGTACTGAATAGTGTGGCTTAAGTCCAATTGAGATCTTTAGAGCTTCTGCTCAGCTGCTGCCTATTGCTACTGGTAGTTAACGTTCTGAGAGTGAAGTCTCCAAGGTGACTTAAGTTTCTTCTGGGGCCGAGAGGGACAGAGGCACACATCCAACTACCCTAGTCCTACTGCCACCCAGCTGCTTAGACCACTTTTCCTTGGTTGTGGAAAACTAGCATTTGAGTTTCTTCTCCAGATCAGAAACAGTAGGGATTTGAAAACAGGTTTCTCCTTCCCTCCCCCCAAACACTCCCAGGTGAGTGTGCTAACCCCAGGAGATGGTTGACAGCTGAGAATACCAAATAGAAACTTAGCCTCCACCCTTTTTCTCAGCTTTTTCTACTGGCTAACTTAGGTAGTCACCTACAAAGCCTGCTGGCTTCTGTGCATCCTAACTCTCCCAACATGTTGTTTGGGTAAGCTGTGTGCCTACCTTGTAATTGTAATTTACACTGGATTGCAAGACGTACAGAAGTTAGGTACCACCGTGCCCTTTGTCATGTAAGCTGTCGGTGCCTATAGATGCAAGCAGGAATTCTTTGAAGTGTGTAGTAGCCCAATTCTTATTGAAATTGGTGGTATCCAGGAGCCTAGTAAGTGGCAATAAGTGTCAATCTGCATCTTTATGTATTTAAGTTCCTTTCAAAATCTGACCCTGGATACTTTTGTATTAATTCCACTTAACCTCATAGAAGTTGGCCAGGACACTGACCTGAACCAAATGGTATGTGGCACTGACTGAGATAGAACCACTAGTGAGATGCCTCCCTTTGTTAAGCTCCTTGTCTTTCAGTCAGTTAAATAAGTGATTTGTTTGCAATAGTTCTGTATTGTAAAAGAAGCTCATTGACCTGTGTGCCACCAACACATCCTTAGCCTTTGATAAATGCTGGATAATGAAATGGCAGATTCAGATTTTTATATACAGAGTATTGCCAACAGCAAACTCTCTTTTCTCAATACAACGACCACATTAAGCTCAACTTTTTTTGCTTGCCCTGTTTCTTGGTCATAACTAAAAGCTGCCCTGTTGCCGAATTTTCTATATATAAACTCTCTTATTCTTTTCCTTTCTCAGAATCCCAAACCTGTCTGTATACTGTCATTGACAATGAAAGTCATCATTCAAGCCATATGTGAACAGAGACATTTGTTTTATGAACTATTAATCTTTGGTAAACCAACATGCAGCTATCGTAATGTATTGATCTTGCTAGCTGTCCCTTAAATAAATATAATTACAGCTTCCTGGTTTAGGTTTAAACTGGTATTTTCCGGTAAAAGAACCAGTAAATATTAATCTACAGTGAGCCCTCCCTCCTGCCCACAGGTGGCGGCTTCACACCATTCCCCCAGCACTTCACAATGTTCATCTGTACTGGGTGAGGAAATGAGAAGACGCACTTTCTAATATGCTTGTTTTATTGAAGTTTGTTGCTTTAAGATTAAAGGGCCAGATTGCCAGTTAGTGTAAAGCCACTCTGATTTAAATGGAGCCACACTGACCAGCTGAGGACTGCTCATTGCATTAAAAAAATTAATCCTGGAATTTGGAGAGTAAAATATTTTCTGAAGTCAGGAGTACTAAATCCAACAGTATACAGAACTACTGGTATCTAGACAAAACAGTGATAGGTGCTCTGTGAATGTAGATGGATAAAGGAGATGATGCTTAGATAAACACTAAACACATTCCAGAATACAATGACAGAGACTTAATCTCAAAAGATATGTTACTGTACCTTGTCAAGCCTTTTCCAGAATACACGGAGTGGTAATAGGCACTGCTTTCCTTAATGCCGATTCCATAATAATGATACCTGCAAAAAATAAAAGGACTACTTATGCTTTTGGGGGACACCCATAAAAGTCTAAAAGGAAATAAATTGATGCCAAAATTGAGCGTGCTTTCATTTGGCCACAATAGGATTTGTGACTTGTTGAGAACGGAGACAAAGTATTGGGGAACTCAGCAAATAAAACTATCAAATGATGCCTGAAATATATAGGCAAATAGACAAATAGGAGAAATCTTTCTTTACACTGCCTTTTAATTAAAGTTGGCCTTTTTGTTCTTGTCTTAGAGCCAAATCCTGCTTCATTGACAGCAGGAAGGATTTTGCTATTATGTTGAATAAGGCCAATACTTGGCTCAAACACCAAGGCTAAATACAGACAGTCAAAAAGCCAGAGGCTAAATCAATTCAATCTTCGCAGGTTAGTCTATGCTGTGTAGATTGAACTAATAGGCAAGTGGACAGACATTCACTTTTGATTCTGGAAGCGCAGCCACATGCCTTCAGTGGCCCAGGCCAGAAGCCAGGGGGCAGTAGAACACACTTCCCTACTGGGCAGGAACAGACAGCTTGCATCAAGTCTAGTCTCTCCAGGAGGTGGGATTGTGGGGGGAGGTGAAAAGCATCTGGGATGCTGGGGGACTCTGAGGTAACTTGAAGTTCAATAAAATGATTTAACCTAAATCAGTTGACACTGTATCTGTCCAAGTCTGACACTGTATCCATCCAGGTTTATCTTAAACTTGTTTCAGCCATTTTGAAAGCAGTTTATGTGCACTGAACTTCTGTTGTGCTACAGAATTGAACTAATTTCTGATCACTCGTACCAGTTTATGTAAAATTTCTATCCCTAGAGCAAAGCTGCAGACTTTCTTGACTCTAAATTACTTTTTTTCTTTTACAAGGACATAGCTGAAAACTTCTCTTTCTAGGAACTTATTTCACTGCTGCTCCACAGCTTTCACAGGCTTTCAGTTTGCTTCCAGGTGACAGTTAAGGTGTTGGGTTGATCCATCTTTAGGCCTTTATATCATGCTCATCACAGTCCTATCTGAATTCCTACAAAGTCCTAAGTAGTTTATGATCATTTTATCTTGGAGACAATCTTGAAACAACTATAGTGCTTGCACCCCTCACCTCCCCCACATCCCTACCACCACTCCCAACCCAGCCCTGGCTAACCTTCTCTCCCATATGTAGCAGTGCTATCTCTGAATTGCCACAGTGGCTGGGTTCTCCTTTAATGCTTTGTCTAGACTTTGTGCCCTGACCTAACTATATGTGCTCAGAAACTCTTTTCATTAAATCACTACTTGTTTTATATTGGTGTACAGCTCCCAAAAAACACAACATTGCACTGATTAAACTGCTTTGAGTTAAAATTGCCTCTTTAGTTAAACTGGCACAACTTTGTGTATAGAGAATGCCTAAATTATATCAGTATGATCCCTTTGAACTCAATGGAGTTACTTTAGCTTAAATAAGTAAATTTGCTCTGAAATTGCTACTTGTAAATTTCAGGTGTAAACAATAAAATTAGTAATGGATTTCAAAATGACCCATTAGTGTCACTTACATCAACATCATTTCCTCATCTATAAAGGATAATACCTTACATTTATACAGCATCTTTCCTCCAGAAGTTACCATTTGGTTTACAACCTTTCTCTATTAAACCCTTCATCACTGAATTTTTAAAATGCCCAATAGGGAAGGAACTACCTAGAGGAAAGAGAAATGGGGTGGGAGAAAAGCCTAAGGGGTATTGTTGCGTGGTCAGTTGCAAGATCCCTGAAGGGCAGAAAAGATGGTGTAAGGAAGGAATAAATCTAAGTATGGTTAATCCAATCATTTAGCACATTTAAAATCTGAGTGGCTGAAATACTTGCAAATAATCATACACTGGCAGGAAGGCTGGGAAAAAACATCTCTTGATTAAATGGCCTTGATTCTGGATGAGCGTGAAAAGTAGATACTATGCCTCACATTCATAGATCAGGTAGAAATAACTCAACTGCTTCTCTCTCATTCACTAGTATCACTGATCCTGATACAGTCTGGAGTCTCACTAAAATAGGCCTGGAGTCCATACTCCATAAATCCATATATCTTATATTGCCTGTCCTCTTGTATCTTACAGAGGTCTAAATCAATCTTAAGCTTATGGAAACATCTCCTTCACATGCACTCATATGATTGATTACTATCATACCAATATTATGGAATTTTATTTACTCAGATACCCCCAGCTTAGTGACAAGATACCTTTAAATTTTCATAGTAAAGTCGCTTCTGAAGTATGAAATAAAAAGTAACATGAAGCATAATACTGAGGAAGGAGAGAGGCATGGTTTTGATCCAGCATCTCATTATTACAGATCCTAATGTTATAGCATCATAGGGTTTTTTAAACAGAATCCTTCCAAGAAAAGAAGTGACCTTTCAAGTCAGTGTATTAGACTCCAGCTATCATTTCTTCATGCAACAAAAGGACTGGACACAAGAAATACTATTGTGAAACTCTCTATTGAACCTGATGCCACCAATTCAAGCACGAAAGCATTGAAACAGACAAAGTTACATGTGAAAGTCTTGCTCCCTAAGGTGCTACAGAAACTCCTAACATGCAAAAGGACAGCATGCCTATACCAAACAGTCATGTTCTACAAGATAATTTAGGTTCTAACACAGTACAGCACGTGTTTCTTTGCCATGTATATGCTAGCTTGAGGAATGGTGATATGACATGATTATGATAAGACCGCATCTGATGAAGTGAGCTTGGGAGTCCAAAAGTTTATGCTATACATCACTGAGTTAATTGATAAGGTGCAAATCTACCCTGCTTTCTGCCTGATGTGACATAAGCCATTTTTAAAGATGTATTAACATAGCCTACAAGTATGGCTACCTGTTTGGATCAGTCTTTCATTTTTTTGCTCTATAAGATAGAGCTAAAAAGTAAAATAACAGCAAGGCCTTTGGGTTTAGGATCCAAAAGGACCTATCATGAAATGCCATGTGGTTTTCTGTAGCATATGATCTCTCTCATGGAAAGAAGTGATTTTTTTTCTCTCACTGTGTTCCACATACGCAGTATTAAAGACCTGGGTCTGGATCAAATCACTAAATCTGAACACAGTTTATATTTTTCAAAATTCATATGGATTTTTTTCAGTCTGAGCCACAGACATTTTTCTCTTTCATCAAACTGGAACTGTTTCAGATGAGATATGAGTTACAAGTGACTGAAATATGTAAGAATAAGTTCTGAAAAATATTAATTGATAAACTTTAAAAGTCAACAGTTGTACACTGAAATAAAATCCGTAGACAACTATTATTACCATTTTAAAATATTACATACATTATAATATATCCACCTGTGACCTGTTCATTTGCATTGTGATATCACTAAATCAATTGCCCAGGTCTTAGTTTAACCTGCCATATCTCTCAGCAATTTCAAACTCTTACCAGAACTTTAAACTCTCCTACAAACATGTACCTTCTGCTCCCACAAAGGTGAAATTCCCACTTCTCAAAATTATCCTGGCCAGTGGCCCAAAAAAGGCACTCCTCAGTGACAGATTTGAGATCTAATATCTTGTGACCTCTTAACGCCTGAAATAGCAGCTGTATATCACTGGAAAGAGGAGATTCCCAGGTATCCAAAGGGAGGCACAGTACCTGCCCCTAATCCAGGAAGGTCACAAGATATCAGACTTTATGCAGTGACATTTATATTAGCTAGAGAAGATCTATTTTAAGTAAATGTTAGATTTGTTCCAAAGGAATAAGTTCTCTATTTAATCTCCTTCTCCAGGATAAGCTTTATAGCGGTAAGGAATCATCCCAACTTTACACACGAGATACAAAATTACTGTCAGCAATTTTTTAAACTCAGAAGACTTTTCACGTTATATGTAGCATATATTATATAAAAGACAGAGCAAAGCTATAATCATCTGCCTAGATGCCTTACAGATTCACTACTACATGCTGTCATTGACACCACACCTTTATTACAGCCTTCATCCCATTACATAGAATTGTACAAGTTTATAGTATGTATTATTATAAATAAAAAACAGTCTGAAATGGTGAAGAGCTTAATCTCAGTTTTTCCAACAGAACCTTTGAAAAGAAACTACTAAGCTGCTCTCCATTTTTAATTTCATAGGTGTGCTGTAACATATGTTTCTCTGCAAGTAGTAGCCCTGATTTTAGCATACACTGACACAAATGATGGCTGATAAGGAAATGATAGGATTAAGCTGTTCAGGGACTTGCAATAACTTGTTATCATGAGGCCAGCTGCCATATCAGTTTTATTAACCCACTAAATCACTCCTAATAAATAAGATAATAGCTTTCAGACATGATGGATAAAAGCTAAGATTTAACATTGATCAAAGTCTACAAAGAAATTAAAATGTAACTTGAGCTCAAACACAATCTCTTGTGTGTATACTCTACACAGTATGTACATTTTCCTGAATAGCTGCTACACGTGATTCACAGACCATGATTATTAGATATTATTTGAATTATGGTAACAGGTACAATATGCTCAGAATTGCCCACACATACAGGGTAATGCAGTCCCCGCCCCAAAGAATTTACAGCCTACTAAATCCTAATCAGAAACTGTGGTCTGAAGCCTTTTCTGTACTGGACCCATTCTCATCTTGCTGGGATCTAGCTAGGGACTCTCCCCATTGAGCAACATGGAAAAATCAGGGTGGCCAAAACAGAAAAATAGGAGAACATTTTCAACTGAATGAAATTTCAGCCAAAAAGGCAATCTATCCTCAGCCAAATATATTGCAAAAACATCTTGGTTTTGGTGAAGACTTGAGACACAATTTAAAGACATTTCATAAATGCTTATACCGCAGCACTACAGCACCACTGTACTAGGCTCCTCACTCAGAAAGATGTTTCAGTGTGATCAGGTTAAGCACCTATGTTCTTTGTACATTCAACAGAGAGATGTCAGTGGCAGCTGATTCAGGTTGAGG